TTTATGCGGTTCCAATTGAGATCGTAACAACTATATGTCTAAATATCATATACGATTGTTTTTTTTTGTTGGTTGAATGTATTTAACTGATGATTTATAGTGTAAAGTAAAGGATTACATTTTTATATCCACTGTCAATATGACAGGTATATTTATTATTTATTTTTATTAATATGTATACTTTACGCGGTATACGCCACTGGTGCGCTATTTGTTGACAACAGCTCCGTGCAATCTGTTTGGTCGTTGCTCCATTAAAGCGTGCTGCGATTTATTACTTGTCATCATTTATGCAACGCGTCACGCAATTTTAAGCATCTTTGATGCTTTAAAAGTATACTGAATTCATTGTCCGCTACCTAAAGATTGATTCTATAGTCGTGTACCTCTGTCCGGGCTCTAGATGCATTAGCCCTGTGGTCAATCCGGTCCTGTAGACGGTCCCTTCCCCGCCGGTAATGCAGAGCTCCGCCGAGTGAATAGGGAACGTTCCTAGGGCCCGCTGCGTTTCTTATCTGGCGTCCTCATTACAATAAATAATGGCACATGTACCCGGTAGATCGTTAGGTGAGCACAACGGCGAAAATCCGCACGTTTTATGCATACAGATGCAGGGGGGCCCCTGCTGCCGTGCATACCGAAAACGGGGAGCTCGCGAGGCCCGGGAACGGGCGGGGGGAGAGGGGCGAGGGGCCGGTGAGCGCGGTGCGTCGGGCGAGGAACGGTATTTTCACCGAAATTTAATGCAATTCGTAACGCTAGGCCGCGTTCTAGCGGTCGATGCGAATTGCAGTTATGCATCTTTTCGAGCGGCATGGACGTGCGCCGAAATTCGACCGAGTGGCTAAGTCAACAAATTTTTATGAAATAATAGCGATATCTGTGGCGGTAGAGGCGCGACATTAAGATTACGGTTAAATACTAATGTCATTATATCCGGCTCGAAGGACCAAATATTTTATTTCACATTAACAACTTGAAATATGGTCGTTTCTAAATGAACTTCTATTTAAACTGTCCAAAATACTTTCAAAATAATACATTAACTGTACAAAATGCAGGAAAATCGATGTAATTTCAAAACTAAAAATTTTAAATGCAGCTAAAGTTATAAACAATAACAACTAATACATTACTGGAAATTACAATGTTCAGCTTAGGTATAACTAGTATTAATATTGCTAAATAATATTTTTAAAATTATGGCATTTGAACTTAAACTTCTAACTAATTTATAACATTTAATCCTCATCTAAATTCAGTTTTCCTCCATTGCCTTTAAAAGTAGGTGTTACAATATAAAACTGTTATTATTCCGTAAACTCTAAATAGTTTTACTAGTAAATGTTTAAAATCTTTGTTGAAAACACCTTTTTGCGCGAACGGTATCCTTAAAACTACAGTTAAATAATATATCGGTCTCGAAAGACCAAATATTATATTTTACACTAACAACTGTAAATCTAGTTGTTTCCAAGTAAAATATATAAACATAAAGTTTTATGGGACTTCCTTAACATAATAGTCAAATAGTGAAGTGGTGGTATAATGCCGTATTTTATTACAGACTCCTGAATTAGGAATAGAGATAAAAAAATTTCGGGAAAATTGGGCGCCTTAAAAAAACGTTTTTCCAGAAAAATAACACTGATAAATTTGGAAAAATTGAACCTTTGTAAAATCTTATATGTATATGTATAAGGTCTAGCCAATATGTCGATATAAATTGATTATGCAAAAAATTATTTTCAAAGCTTTCAAAATGGTCAAGAGAGTGTTACTCTGGAATCAGAAGCATCACTTATGGAATTTGCTTCAAATAAAATATTACATTTATCTGTTGTTAATTTGAAGTTGAGGTTTACCAATTTGAAATTTGAGGGCATCCCGATTCCAAACTTAAAAAAATTGTCACAATGTGTCATTTTTGTATTGAGGATTATTCAAAACTCATCTGGAAAAATATTGTAATAAATATTTCTTCAAGAAATTTCTTATTTCCTGTTTCTTTAATATTTCCATTTCCACCAATCTTTTTCCTCGGAAAAACCATTTTTTTTTCAAATGATTAAATCTTTAATTAAGAAGTTACATTACATTTACATTGGCAGTTATTGTATCGTGCGCTATTATGTTGCTAGGTTGGCAGTATCAACAACAGCCAATAATAACGGCTGATGATCTTATTGTATTGACGAATGGTAAACTGAAATTGCTTGTCCTTCGGAATCATAAAGTCGATGATATATTTGTCTTTACAGTTAGTGAACATCAAGCAAATTAAAAAAATAAGATGTAGAAAAACTGGAAACAACTTATTATAATAAAAATATGTAGTTAAAATAAGTTTCAGTGATATCTATTACATAATACTCATTTAGAATAGAATTACTAACAACCAAAGTTGCTTATAGCTACAAGATTCTCGAAAACAAAAGAAAAATCAAAAATGGATAAAGATGCGCTGTATTATCAACAATTAATTAATTACTAAGACCTGGCTATCAAAATTGTTTGATAAAACTGTCAAACTAACCTAACTTTTCCTATTAATGATCCTTGTTCCCCAATTAAATGGAAGGTGAATAGAAAATAAAACATTGTTAAAAAAATAATAATAAACCGACTATTTTACTAATTACACCGAATCCGTTTGGTTTGAATAAAACAACTCGATGGTTGGTACAACAAACAAACGTTCAAACAAATTTGTTTGTTTGATACGGGCCTATTATTTTGAAAACCCCCCAGTCCGGCGCCCATGCAGCACGGGCATTGTTCATGTTGGGGCCACAGGCGGGCCCATAGCGATCCGTATCGGTCAAAATTAATGGTTATAATATGCGTTTTCTAAATTATGTTTCTCTCCATTTTCTCTCGGTCTTATAATTGCCGGTAATTAGCATATCCGCGGCAGCTGACGTATTATTTTCCTTAATTCACCTTCGAATAATTTAAAATCTTCGTCGGCTCCAATTTTAGCCGAGCTCGGCGCGGCAGCACGCACGGATATCAATTAGCATTTTTTCATTATTTTTTTTGCCCGACAATCGACACACGACTGTTTACGGATATATTTTTATCGATTCCGAAATTCTCTCGTAAAAAACACGAGAAAAACCGCAGTCGCAAGTCGGAATGCCCGCCGTTTATAGTTTTTAGTACAAAAGAAAATTTAATTTAATGTCAACGTGAAATATTTTTTTGTTTGGAGATTTTTTGTTAAGAAAACAATGTAAAAACGTCTAATTATTCTACTAACTTCCCGACAAAAATTAAAGTTAGTTGCATAAAGATTCCTGTATTATAAAAATCATAATTTTTATTTTAATATATTAATGGGAAAACCCATAGTGGCAAAAATGTCGTTTGGTTTATGTAGGAATGGAATTAATATGAATACCGGAACATGCAGATTAGCCACAGATTTTAACGATAAAATTCAGGAAAAAACAATAAAAGCCGATATTGTTCGATAAAGAAAAGAATGTGATCGTATATTTAAAATGTATTGTTTATATCATTACGTCAAGTCAGACAATAATTCTACATACTTTCACTGCTACAATGCATTAATTTTCACATTTTTAAAACTTCAACACAAATTAATTGTATACCTCCTATTAATTTTGTTAGAAATGTAGTAGATTTAAAAAATATTATTAGAATTAAATATTATTTCGATTAAAATATAAATAAAAAGCGTGGATAATGGCAAATAATTTAAAATAAACACACAGATAAGTGAATTAAACTCAATCCCTAACCCTAAACTCAACATATATCTCAATCAAAAATGATTGATTGATAGTCTATTGTGTCGAAACACCTGTACCTATAAAGCCCTAGTAAATTAAAATAGAATTAAAACTATCCGGCTTTTTGTTATTATGACAAGTTATCTTGAATAAATTACAATTTTTATGGACTACCTAAGAATATCCCACTTCTGATGGGATTCCTCCGCTTTTGAGACCACACGAAACCTATACACCTAATGAGCACACTACACGGGTATCCGAATTATCGATGGCAGGGAACACATAATGGTTTTACCTGTGAAGGTGTAAGGGGGGAGAAAAGGGGGAACAAGAGAGGGTTGATTAGCTATTTGCTCTTCGCTATTACACGGTAGTCAATGAGTCAATCGATAGTTGGAAACGCATGCATATGCGCCCACCCTTTATGGGAAAACCACCTTCCCTTTCCCTGTGACATATAAAGGACGATATCACTTTTATGCAACCCCTTTCTCAAGGCCCCTATCGAACTGGGTTAAATGTATGGATTTTTCAGCCTTGAGTCCATTCAAAAGCGTTCATAGGGCAATTTCTAGCAGTGCATGAGGTCTAAAAGTGCAATGCGCGCATTTTTTGAATTTCCTACATCTATGAAGGTTTTTTTTACGAACAAGGGTTTACGGTGAATAAACATCGCAGTCATAAGGTGCAGTTGTAAGGGTGAATGCACTTACCTGGCGAAATATGCAACGAATTTTGGATAAAACTCGATTTTCTAGCCCTCCATATAACTACACACAGCAAATTCAGGTACAATGGGAATGGTAAGCCGCGAAATCGCTCGCGAAATAATCTAACCTAACATATCACAAGTATCACAACATTTACTAAATGTATAATATATATTTAAATCTCAACAAAAAACCGTGCCAGTGTAGTAGCGATGCATTTCTCCCGTAAAACAATCAATTTTAGTTGTGTAGTTTTGTACACTGGCACTCTCGCCTCTTGCACCTATCGGCGCATGTCAAATTTACCTTTGCCAGCGCGAGTTTTTTGCCGAACGCGGAAGGGTGCGCGGAGCGTCTCGGGTAGCTCCGCCCCGAACCAAACGCCTGCTGGTTGCTGAACTCTACAAAAGTTGCGGAAGAAGCATTTATCGCTACCGGAATGTAGGTGGCGTAGAAAAAAAATGAAAAAATAATCCATCTCATAGATACATTGAAAATTCAAAGCAATTCCCTGTAGTTTTTTATGTTTCATTAGATACGCAATGATTGTATTCCAGACTGCAGATATTTTCTAACGAAATTACAGATTTCAATTGGATTTTATTCTAAATGCAACAATGTAGGTATTAAGTCTAATTTATTAATGTTTTCATTATTGTTGACAATTTTGTTGAAACATCCAAAACTGTTGATTGCTATCGTGATATCATTTGTCAAATTGTCAGTCTTGTTATTTTTTCATACGATGATTCATTCGTGATATCCAGAAAGCAACAGCATTGCCAAGTTTATATATGTTGTAAATTGTTCACACCTTTATATTATTCATATGAGACATATGCTTGTAAGTACGTGTTTATTGTATACCTCGTGCAATGAATAATGCAAATAGGTCAGTCAATTTAAAGAAATCGTATTGTTCTAGAGTTCTCGTATTTATATTTATAATTTTGTGGATGCTGATTTGACAACAGTGGGAAAGTGACGACACGTGATCTTTTATTATTTTATTTTGTGATTTATTTTTTCTAAGCATTTTCTAATTAAATAACTGCATCTGAAATAGTTATATTTATTCGAACAGCGTTTTAGTGGTTGGAATGTTGGAAAGTTTGGCCTATAACAGCGGAAATTGGAAAACACTCCTTTCAAAACAAACGTCATTCTTTTTTGTTGATCTGTCAGATTGTGTTTTGTCGGCTTTTATTGTAAATTTTTTTGTTGGATAATGCCCGATAAGGATTATTACTGTCAATTTAGCAGGTACGCATTAATTTTTTTCGAATATTTTCCTGAAAAATACGTCTTCAACAGACTGCTGAGTTTTTTTATATTTATTGTAGGTGATTATTGATTATTGCTACGTAGAAACAGGGTTACAAAACTACAAAAAGGGATAATCAAATAACAAATATTGACCATGGAGGCGGCTCCGAGACTACCCATGTTCTACTTTGACTTGAAAGTCTGTACTGAGAACACTAGGTTTGCCCCACAACTAAAGCAAGTAAGTTTAAAAATGAGTTATTTATGAAAAATATGTCTTGTTCTTTTGTTGTTGTATTATAGTACATAGCAGCCTTTTACAATGAAGATCCTGATTCATATCTTACTGAAATCCACAATTTAGAGACGCTTAGATCAGCAGCTGTACGTCCTTCCATGGACGTAAACGGTGTCCAGTTATTGAAAAAGTATTATTGTCAGTTGCATTTCTTAAAATCGAGATTTCCCATGGAAGAAAACCAAGATGCTGCTGTACAGTTTTTGTGGTAATTATAAAATGTGTGGTTATAGAAAATGTCACAATATTACGCTGATTCTTTCAAGGAAAGACAACCAGACTGGAATGAATTGTGGCGGTTCCGATATTCGTTTCGAGCTTATGGTGATAATGTACAATATAGGAGCTTTGCATTCATATCTAGGCGCGACGGATTCTAGAAGTAATCCAGATGGCATGAAAATGGCATGCACGCATTTTCAGTGCGCTGCATGGGCTTTCCAGGTAAGTAATTGCATTTAAGTCTGTCGAATAATTACATAACCTTTCGTTTTAGACCGTTAAAGAAAAATATCACCAGTTTATTATCTATATCTCTTCTGTGGAACTGGTACACTTTTACCAGCAGGTGTGCCTCGCACAGGCGCAGGAATGTATTTTGGAGAAGAGTATGTTGGACAATCGCAAAGCGACTATAATTGGTGAGTTAAAAATGAGTTTTTTTGTGCTCGAGGAATTCGTAAACCTTTTATTTTTTAGCTAAAGTGGCAGTGCAGGTTTATAATTATTATAGGCAGTCGTGGACTATTCTAAACAGTACAAACGACGAAATCGTTGGCAGCAAGACTTACAAGGAATGGATCAAGTATCTCGAGTTTAAAATTGCTTATCACAGGTGCATAGCCCTTCTCTTTCAAGGGCAGCAGGCCGAAGAGCAGCAGAAAATGGGGGAGAGGGTGGCGTTTTACCAAGCCGCCTGTGAACAATTGGAAGAAGCGAGGAAGCTGTCTACTGCATTGAAACACAGACAGGTTAGTTATTCGACATTAATTATATTTGAATATTTATAGTCCAGGCGGTATCTGTTTCGGGTTGGGTAAAACGCAGGTGATCGGAGATTTTTGCTTTAACGGCTTCTAAATAACATCAGAAATGATAATTTTTCTATGCAAATAAAAAAAACGGGGGCTTAATTGTTATTGCAAAAAAGTATAAAAAATAGCAAAAAAATCATTTTTTTCCTGTATTTCTCGTCGACAACTTAGCAACTATTCGTTTTAGACAAAAATGGAGGCGGAAAAAAATTTTGTAATTAAATTTGGAACAAGATAGTGTTAGTTGCAATTCGAAAAAATAATTATTGCAAAAATCTGAAAAATTATTTAAAAAATTGCAAAAAATGCTAGTTTATCTGTCAATTTTTTTCAGGCACTTGAATAATACCTAGGATCTTCATACTTTTCCCAATTAAACTTCTTAGTGTATAAAATCATCACACCAAATTTCATCCAATTCGGTTCGATAGTTTTTACATAATAATTGTTTAATTTTTTTTTAATTAAAACATTTTCAAAATCAAATTTCTAAAAATCTGAAGCCTTTGATTACTTGAAAATTTCACCACAAAAAGAAGAGCTCTCTAGCTTTAAAATGCTTTTTGAAAAATTCAAATCGGACGATTAGGTGAGCCGTGGTGATTGTTTAAACATTTTCGCAATTTTCACGCTTATAAACAATTGCAATAATTTAATGTTTTTTCAAAATTTTTTTTTTAATTTTAAAATATGGTTTGAAAGTAGTCGGAAAGACGAGTATTTAAAAAAAAACCTGATGATCCGCCCATTATTTTCGGAGTTATAGCCTGTTAAAGTTAACCCTTATTTACAGCAAAACTATAAGAATATAAGGGCTATGTTTTGAACTGATAGTTTTGTCATTCCGAGTACCTTCCAGATATAAATTTTCAAAATTTGCAATCATGGGCGTTCCATTTAAAATGTCACTCAAAGATATTCAAGACCTCGTGAAATCAATGAGGTATCAGTGGTGGGGGGAGCAAACACACAGCTACTCCGATCTGAATTATCGAGTTCAAAACTGCGAGGCTCGGAAAAATTTCACTTATCTCAGCTTCTAATGGACCAATTTCGATATATTTTTTTTAAATCGATGTATCGCAACTTAAAAAATTCAATTATCTCAATTTCAACCACCTTTTATTGTTAATTATTGGACTTTTGACATGCCGATAAACAGTTACTTTAAAAAGTGATTAATTTATTATGTTTATTTATTTACTATGTTAATATTCATGACCAAAATTTTTAAAATATATTTTTTATTTATAAAAACAAAATATAAGAATCTTTTGGATACTAGAATAAACAGTACACACTTCCCATGATTTTTCAAATTTTAAACTATTTATTGATTTCAATTTTTATTTACTTTTAATCTAATGTAATTCTTTTACTAGTTGGTGATTTTTCACATGCCTTATCAGTATTATCACAATCTATTTCGTCGTCGGTTTTCTCGCCCTGCAACTGCAAAATATCATTTTCTAACGACTCTAAATCTGATTGTCCAGTTCACTTTCTTCTGACGTGTCTTCTTCAAAATTGATTTCGAACTCGTCTACTTCCACTGTTTTGTAAGCATGTTTACACATTTGCCTTGGCAATGGGTGCAATACTCAGAGTATTTTTGAACTCGAGAAATCAGATCAGAGTAGCTGTGTGTTTGCTCCCCCCACCACTGATATTTCATTGATTTCACACGGTCTTGAACATCTTTGAGTGACATTTTAAATGGGACGCCCGTGATTGCAAATTTTGAAAATTTATATCTGGAAAGTACTCGGAATGACAAACCTACTAGTTCAAAAAACAGCCCTTATACCCTTATAGTTTTGCTGTAAATAAGGGTTAAGGGTTATAACTCCGAAAATAATGGGCGGATCATCAGGATTTTTTTTTTAAATACTCGTCTTTCAAACCATATTTTAAAATAAAAAAAAAATTGAAAAAACATTAAATTATTGCAATTGTTTATAAGCACGAAAATTGCGAAAATGTTTAAACAATCACCACGGCTCACCTAATCGTCCGATTTGAATTTTTCAAAAAGCATTTTAAAGCTTGAGAACTCTTCTTTTTGTGGTGAAATTTTCAAGTATTCAAAGGCTTTAGATTTTTAGAAATTCGATTTTGAAAATTTTTTAATTAAAAAAAAATAAACAATTATTATGTAAAAACTATCGAACCCAATTGGATGAAATTTGGTGTGATGATTCTATGCACTAAGAAGTTTAATTGGGAAAAGTATGAAGATCCTAGGTATTATTCAAGTGTCTGAAAAAAATTGACAAATAAACTAGCATTTTTTCCAATGTTTCAAATGATTTTCCCAATTTTTGCATAACAATTATTATTTTTTCGAATTGTAACTAACTCTATCTTGTTCAAAATTTAATTACAAAACTTTCTTTCCTCTTCCATTTTTGTCTAAAACGAATAGTTGCTAAGTTTTCGACGAGAAATCCAAGAAAAAAATGAATTTTTTTGCTATTTTTTTATACTTTATTGCAATAACAATTAAGCCCACGTTTTTTTTATTTGCACAGAAAAATTATCATTTCTGATGTTATTTAGAAGCCGTTAAAGCAAAAATCTCCGATCATATGGGTTTTACCCAAGTATACCCTTTTTAAAACAGATACCGCCTGGACTATTACTGAATCAATGAACTTATCAGTCTTTGTGATATTTTGTTGCCTTTCGTACTAATCCGGATATACATTTTTTGCCACATGTGCACATTCATTGCACAGAAAATAACATTAAGCGTAAAACTGCAAATAAGTCAGAAATGTTGTGAACGTGGGGATGGGAAGGTTATGACGACTTTAGTTTGACAGGTTGTTGCCTAACCATACTTTGTAGTTACAAACTGTGTTGAAGTACCTTATTTTTCAGTAATTTATTAAATTTACTGTTTACAGCAATTTAACAAATTTATTTTTTCAAATAGTGCAGGTCTAAACATAATAATTTTGGTGTACATTGCGATTTTTAGCAAGAAATCAACGAAAGCCTGGCGTTTACCCTCGACGTGGTGGAAGGCAAACGGAAAGCCGCGAAGAATGAAAACGAGTTTATCTACCACGAAGAGGTGCCCGACAAGGACCACTTGCAAGAAGTTAAAGGCGCTTCGCTGGTCAAAGGGATTCCGTTTAGTGTTAACGATACCGAGGTATCTACATTTCCAATTATCGTTTCTTTGCAACCACTTAAACTGTTTTTTAAGGTGTCCGGTTCTGATATTTTCGCTCGTCTGGTGCCGATGGAGGCCCACGAAGCGGCGTCTTTATACAGCGAGAAGAAAGCGCAAATGTTGAGGCAGATAGGAGAATTGGTGGAGAACAAGGATCAGTCACTCGCTGAATTTATGTCATCGATGCAATTAGATTTGTTGACGAAGGCGAGTCACGTTTTATCACGAAAAAAAAACGAAAATATTTGAATTATTGTTTTTTTAGATGAATCAAGCGACGGGAATCCCTCAAGAGCTGATCGACAGAGCAGCGGCATTGTCGGCTAAGCCGACGGCTACCCAGGACTTGGTGGACATAATGGGGAAGCTTTCCAACATCTACCAGGAGGTCGAGAGCAACTTGAACGAGATCGAGGGGTTGCTGAAGCAAGAAGAGGAGGCCGAGAAGGGGTACCAAGAACTGATGGGCAAACGTCCTCCCGGTATTATAGCCACGGATCTGGCCAGAGAGGCGGCCAAGTACAAGGAGGCCCACACCAAGGCCAACGATTCCAACCAAACCCTGCACAGGGCCATGATGGCCCACGTGGCCAACTTGAAGATCCTCCAGCAGCCGCTCAGGCAGCTGCAGCAGCAGCTGCCTTCCGTCGAACTGCCGAACGGTGAGTCGATTGTTGCTATTTTTATTTTTTAGATTCCCAATTTTTTCAGTGGTTTTCAAAGCTCGAGCTGATATTTCAAGTACTTTGCTTATGTTTCTGTGTTGTTCTTGTGCTAGGCTCTGTGGTGGTGGACCTACTATCGGCACCGCTAGGTACATTCCGATGTTGTTTTCGGTTCTTGTTGTTGGATCTAAGGTCGCTACGGATGGAACCGATGCTTCCAGTAAAGTTTGAAAGTATGCGATCTGCCACTGATTGAATTCACTGAAATCACAGTTATAATTACATAGTACTGTCTTAAATGTTTTATTTTAAGATCGTCGGCAAGCAAAAGATATTTAGCATGTTTCAGAACATGACTGATATCATTAATAAATGAGTTAAACAAAATTGGTCTATAGGGGAACCCTGTGGAACCCCAGAGGGAACACTTATCGCATTAGAGACAAAGTTTTTAATTTTTATTAATAATATTTATGAAAAATAACAAAATGCCTGTTTGTATCTATTAGATCATTTTACTCTACGCTTTAGCGTTGTTACTATCCCGCTTCTGACATTCAACCAAGTTATCCCACTCCTGATTTATATCAGAGTGATATCAATTTTTAATGTGCCGCTGGTACTCAGCTGATTTATCAAGCCCGCACCATTGTCGTTTTCAGCCAACATAGACGAGGCCACCCTGAAAGACCTGGAGACGTTGGTGGCGAAGGTGGAGGAGATGAGGACACAGCGAGCCATGCTGTGGGCGCAATTCCGGGAGGGCGTGCACAAAGACGACATCACCAATTCCCTGGTTACGAAACAGCCGAATCAGTCGTTGGAGCAGCTGTTCCAGCAGGAGCTGCAAAAGCACCAGCAGTTGGTGAGTTTCGTTGATTTACGAATAGTTTTGTTTGCGTTGATGTGGTTTTATACAGGGCGATTTGATTAGTTTTTTTTATCAAGCTTTAGGAATGGAAACATGATAACAAAATAATGATATTTTGTTGTAATATGAGTATATTGGAAACATTTTTTTTTTTTTGAGATGCGGATGGAATTTAAAAAATGTTTTTGACGGTAGAGAAGCGATTCTTAAATGTATTAATTTAAAATTTTTCAGGTTCGTATCGTGGGAACGTTATTGATGAGTGCCTTTCTTTTTAAATAAATTAATACGCCACCGACGGAATACAAAAATAATATTTTTTTCCAAATATGTTTGTTTTTAGAGTAAAAAATGGAAAAGTGCTAGACAGACTATTTTTATTGTAATAAATAATTATCCAAAAATAAACACTAAAAATATAATTAATGCAGAAATATGTTAAAATATCCTTAAAATGTCTTTAAAGATGAGCAAAAATTTTAATCAAGAATGCCTTTTTCTCGTAAAATGAACAATACAATTTTTTTTCTGTCCGTTTCTATCAAAGTAGGCCGATTTATACACAAACTGAAATTATTATATAAATAAAGTAAAGTAAAATTAAAGTATTCTGTATTGTTAAAAACAAAGGCAGTTTATTCTTGAACGATTTTTATATTTACCAATTTTCTGGTCACCCTGTATATGCAAGATGAAAGTTCTCTATGCTAATCGTATTTCAAAGACAAGCAAAAATTTTAGTCAAGAATGGCTTTTTCTCGTAAAATCAAAAATAAAAATATTTTCCCTATTTTCCACTCTAACCGTGGACATACTGTATACCTATAAAGAACAGGAAACTTAGAAAAAACGACATTTTGAAACGACTGTCAAAAGTATTGAATTCTCAAAATGAAGAAATATTATAAATTAAAAGAAAAATAAAAAATAATTTTTCGAATGTGTAGTGAAAATTGTAGCATTTATTTCAGGGACACCCCGTATAGGGTGAAAGCGAAAGGGCTGATTTGGGGGGGTTGAAAAGTTGGGAAAAATTGTCACTTTTTAAGATAACCTCAAAATATTCGAGAAAAATGCGAAAAACAGGTTTTTTTCTGATTTTTCGTTTTTTATTTCTCATTTCCGCAAAAATAACTAAATTTTGACAAAACTTGGTGAAAGTATACCTTTCTGTGTCTTAAATAACCACAAGATAAATAAAAAAAATCAGGAAATTTCCAGGATATTCATTTTCTCGGAACTGAAACACTTTTTCTTCAAAGAAAAATTCTACTTAAAAAAATCATACACAGTTCTGCCGGTATTAATTTTTTTCGTTTTGAAATAAAAAAATCTATAATCACAGTTCAAAATCTTGTAAAAAAATAAAAAACGATTTGCGCAACAATGAATTATTCAGTGATAATTGTTGATAATTTGTTTAAATTAAAAAACATTCAAAAACTGATTACACCATTCAATTCTTGGAAAAAAAATTTAAAAAATGTGTCATTGTTTGACCCACAATTTTATTTTTGTACAGCACACAAATGATAAATTATTTATGGATGATTTGAGATTTCAGCAATACAAAGTATTAATTGCAAAGTCTACTGTTGACGCAAAATCCGAAAATCCGAAATTTTGCAAAATTGTTTTATTTTTTCTGGATTTATTTGAAAACGAATTTTAAAATAAATTGCATATTTATATTGCCACTTTTTTCGCTCTATACAATGGTCTCAACATTTTTGCAATCCAACGTTTCGTCTTCGAGGGGCCATCATCAGGTTAATTTTTTTAAATATGTCGTTGCTATTTTTATGACAAAATCTAGTTATTTTTAATTCTGAATTAAATGATATTACTATTGTAATCGCTTCAAAAGGTTTTTAGCTATCATCTAAAATTTTTCCTGAGTACGGCTCTGAACGCTTTTAAAAAAGTCAATACAGCACAAAATCTCCAATAATTTTTTTTAATCCATAATTTAAAAAGTTGTACCTAATAAAAAAATAATATGAATTTATGAAATATTTTATTATTTCTAATTAGTGTTGCTAATAGTAGAAAAAAAATTTGTTGGATATTTTGTGTAGTATTGACTTTTATACTGTACTCAGGAAAAATTTTAAATGAGCTAAACAAGCTAAATACTTTTTAATTGATTACAATAGTAATATCATCTAATTCAGAACTAAAAATGGCTTTAGATTTTGTCATATAAATAGCAGCGACGTATTTAAAAAAATTAACCCGATGAACCTCGAAGACGAAACGTCGGATTTTGCAAAATTTCTGGTTTTTCTGGATATCTTCGGAACTACCCGGAATTTTAAAATTTTCTAAACGGCATATTGTTAGGTATAAAAAAATACAACTTCTTTCTAATCTGAGCCAGCCGTATCTCTTACTGTTTCCTAGATCCTAATGCTATCTCATCCTTATCTTGTACACACTGTATATCTATGAATTCATCAAAATTAAAAAAAAATAAGTACACTAATCGATCCTACGAAAAAAAATATTATTTATTTTATTTATTCACTATTCGACTTATGTTTATAGCAATACTGTTACAAAAATAAAGTTTTGGGTCAAACAATGAGACAGTTTTTTTTTTGTATTTTTTCTGTACAATTGAATGATGTAATCATTTTTTGAATTTTTTTAAATTTAAACAATTATGTATCAACGATTATTGAAAAATTCATTGTTGCAAGTCATTTTTTATTTTTTTTTCCGTTTTTGAGCATGTTTTTGAACTGTGATTGCAAATTTTTTTATTTCACCAAAAAGTGTATGTCAAAACGAAAAAATGATCACCGGCAGAACTCTGTACGATGATTTTTCTAAGTAGAATTTTTCTTTCAAGAAAAACTGTTTCAAACAGGAAAAAATGAAAATCTCGGAAACTTCTTGATTTTTTTATTTAAAAAAATTAGTGGTTATTTAAGACACAGAAAGGTATACTTTCACCAAGTTTCATTAAAATTAAATTATTTTTGCGGAAATGAGAAATAAAAAATGAAAAATCAGAAAGAAACTTGTTTTTTGCATTTTTTCGGAAATTTTGAGGTCTAAAAAGTGACCTCTACAAAAGTTGTAAATTTTTGCATGATCTACGACTTTTGTATATGATATTTTTTTGTTTGACGTCAGCTTTTGCCAGAAATCCCAATGATACAATTTTTCAGAACTTTTCAACCCCCCAAATCAACTCTCCGCCGCCCCTGCTCATTGCCCCTGTTTATTATAAGCCTCTTTTCATTTATAAAAGTCCAGGTAACAATTTTCTTTTTTTTTTCCTCTAAATGAGTTATTTCGATCAGTCTTTAATTGAGATACACAGTTAAATTAAATTGTGTTCGTTTATTGTAAAAGTTGAAAAATTTAGGACACTACAGTAATAACAGTAAAACAAATTATTGACAATATTTGCCAAAATTAGACCAGTCATTTGTGAGAAAATCCATTTTGAATCTGGGGCCCAATTTTAGTAGTGCCATTAATTTGAAGTGTGTTTTGGTTCTAAAATAAATAAAAATTTTCAAATAATTTCGTAAAGCACAACCAAGTGCGAAATTATATCACACAGGCGATTTTTTAAAGAAACTATTTGACTTGTGCGCTACAGGTAGGCCTGATCGAGCAGAACTGCACTGCCCAGGAGAACATCAAGAAGGCCCTGGTGGACTGCTACGCCAAAGCGGTGAACACTAGGCGGTACGTTCAGGAGGTCATCCAGAAGAGGAACAGCACCATCTCCGCCCTCATCACCTCGTACGACTCCTACGAGGACCTTCTGGCCAAGGCAAACAAGGGCATCGAGTTCTACACGAAACTGGAGACGAACGTGTCCAAACTCCTTCAGAGGATCAGGAGCGCTTGCGAGGTGCAGCGAGAGGAGAGGGAACAGATGCTGTCGAAGAGCGACGCGGGGAAGACGGACGATACGGCCGCTGTGGCTCCGGTCGCTCCCGCCTCGACGGCGCCTAAGTTGAAGGACTATTTGGAATCGAGGAAGAAAAATGCCGGCGTCGCCGGAGGTTATCCCGATCCGAGTTTGCAGTACCAACAACAGGTAACGATTATTCCTATGAAATATACAGGGTGTAACTTTGAATAAGGTCATATTTATACGGAGGCTATCGTTGGACTTTGGAAACGTATGCCATAAGTTAGTTGTCAAATTCTGCCACGGAAACGAATTTTTTTTTTAAATAATTTTCGTAACCTCGAATAACTGCGCATGCTAATCACCAGCGCATACTCAGTTGGGAGTTACAGTGTGCATTGCTGACAAATTTCATATTTTTCGACTCGTTTACAGCTTTTTTTCATAAAATCTCGTAGAAACATTGAAAACAAACAAACTGTACACGAAGGACCAAATTTGATACTTTTGAGGGGGTGATTTCCTTTTTTTCGAAAAGATAGCGGAGAAGTAGTTCAGATGTCGCTGGCTTGATTTTTGAGAAAAGTTGAACGAAAAAAACTGTAAGCAACTGATATCTTTATTTGTTTTAAGACATACAGAACGTTTGTACGCAGGATCGATCTGTCGTGCGGACTCCCAACTGTGCCATTCAAATGGTTACAGTACGAAGCAACCTGCTAACTGCAGGTACTTTGTTGCACGACTGCCACCCACAGAGAGCGTAACACAATGTTTGAATTGTCAGTGTTGCGAGAAACAACTACTCCAAGAGCTATACGCCCCTACCGGCATTGAATTATACTCGCAACACCTAGGATCGTGTGTCGGTTGTCGCACCTATGACACACTGATGAGGACTAATAAGTCCGAAACCGGTCTGTGCCTGGTGGGTTAAACTAATGACAAACGATCCTAGCTGTTGCACTAGGTGTAGCGAGTATAATTCAATGCCGGTAGGGGCATATAGCTCTTGGAGTAGTTGTTTCTCGCAATTCATACAGAACATTTTTCAATTTCTGCCATTTTCCATGACGATTTTTGTAAAGAGGATTTTTCCCCTGTTTTCGTAGAATCCAGCATAAAGGTTTTCTTGGTCGCTGATTACAGACACGAAGTCAGAATTACGAAATTCAAAATGGCTGATCCAATACGGCGCACAGTGGAAAATATCAAAACTAATCAAATAGTACTGATTTTTTTTATTCTTTCTTAAATTACCTGTACTATATAGTTCATATAGTGTAGTGGAATATATGCCTAGAATTTTTTCAATATGGCCGAGTAATCTCTAGCCTCAAACTCGATCATACAAAATTTAACATATTCGGTATCTAAAAATGAAAAAAAAGGAGAATTATGTACTAAAGGCTACCGAACAAAAAAAAATCATACACATTCAACATATTCCTAAATTATGAAGCCAAAACATAACCTCAAATTTATAAATCTTCAACTGAAACAAACATACTCAATTTTTTCTAAACCTGTCAGTATAAATCCATAAAAATGGTACTTTTGAGTGAGCAACCGATATTTTTGCATAACTTTAACTCAAATTCATAGGAAACTGACCAGGAAACCTGAAAACCTAACCTCAAATCCAAAATAATTAAGTTAAAAATCCACAGAAACAATATATTTTCTTCAACAAATGAAACAAATTACTTCAAAAAGACATTCCGCAATATATGTTTTCCTGTGCATACCTAAATTTTAAATCCATCCAAGGACTAGAACCTAACCTCAAATGTTTAAAATTTTTGCTACAAATAAAAAAAAAGCAAACAAACCAATCCATTTTACAAAAAAAAATTCTTCAACCTTGTGTATGACACAAACCTAAGAACCTTCTAATTTGCAAAACCTAATATAAATGGATTGGTTTGTTTGCTTTTTTTATTTTTAGCTTAAATTTTAAACATTTGAGGTTAGGTTCTAGTCCTTTAAGGTTAAGTTTTATGGAGATAAATTTTCTTTTTCTTTCCTTTTTGAAGCAATCATATCGTTTATTGAAGAAAATATATTGTTTCTGTGGATATTTAACTTAACTATTTTGGATTTGAGGTTAGGTTTTCAGACCAGCTTCCTATGAATTTGAGTTAAAGTTATGCAAAAATATCTGTTGCACACTCAAAAGTACCATTTTTATGGATTTATATTCACAAGTTTAGAAAAAATTGAGTATGTTCGTTTCAGTTGAAGATTTATAAATTTGAGGTTATGTTTTGGGTCTAGATTCATGATTTAGCAATATGTTTAATGTGTATATTTTTTTATTTAGTAGCCTTTAATTCATAATTTTTGTCGTGGAGCATGATCGTTTGTATCGGCCATATTGACATGGGCCCTTGGTGAAGACCTCGGGAGTTCGAATCGAGCTCCACGTTGGGCGCCATGTCGCGATATATGATCTGTAGTGCCTAATATGTGAGAATTGTGCGGGGAAGTATGATCTGAATGTTGTGTTTGGTCGGCATGGGTCCTCAGTGGAGGCATCGGGAGTTCTAATCGAGCTCCACGTTGGAAACCATGTCGCAACCTGTGATCTGGGATGTTAGTTCCCTTGACCGGGTTCCGCGGCAGGAACGCACGGAGTTCACGGGGATCGTCGCTATCGACGCCCGGTCGCACTATATTCTCTGACGATTGGAATCTGTGGTGGATATGACCTACAGACGTGGTGTCTAGGACACGAGCTCGCGGGGGAGATCTCGACGAAGAAGGTCGAGCTCCGCGTTGAGCGTCGTGTCGGGTTAGACTTTCTTGATATGGACCACTTAGGCGATGATCGTATGTTCGGGGGAAATCATGAGAATGGACGGGCGACGTACAAGTATTGTTTTGATAAAAAAGGCCGGCTTCGTCACCTATGACGTAGTCGGCTAAGGGGTTTTCGCTTACTATGGCACCCGAACGCGATGCGCATTGCTCCCGCTGGATACCACTTCGTAAAAAAGCTGAATGAACTGTAGCGTCGTCACCGACGGCTAGCTCACGTTCCGAAACACCCGACATCGGAAGTATTCCACTACCGGGGCCAGATCGTGAACCGTGGTTGGACTCATGGGATTCCCCGGACCCTACCAGTTGGTACGTAGGTTGAACCTCGTCCCGAGTATCTGTGGGTGACCCACTTCGTGGTAACTCTTGGTTGCTACTCGGATCCGCGAGTGCGTCGTGAGGGGTGGTCGAGATGGTGCCAGTAACTCGCGTAGCAGCGGACCTCAACGCGTACGGCGCTGTGGCTGCGCCGTGCCGCGTACTTCCGCGAGCCACCATCTTCGGTCCCTCAGACTCTTCGCGGAGCATCGATATAGCGTTGGCAGAAGAGGCCATTTCCTCTTTCACCCCGAATGTCGAGAGATCTTTCGCCGGCAAACAGGTGTGAGGGCAGTTCGTGTGACCGCTGGTCTCTCCGATTTGGGACGAGGTCTCGTCCAGCTCAGTCTTGATCATACTCACACGATCTAATTTATTATTCGTAGTATTACCTTCGAGGGCACCAATCCTCGTAGCACTGGATTTCGTAGTCGCGTCGCAGGGGTTCATCTTCCCGGTACGACAATGTCGGAGCAAGCTCTTTTGCTCCGAAAGTCTTGTAGACGTCTTGTAGTAAGCACTGACTCTACTATTAAATGTGGGTCTCTCGAGGGAGCCCTAGAAGTAAGGATAACTTCTTTACTAAATTTGGAAGTACGCCGCCACAATAACGTGCGTACTATTGCTTTGTGCCCGTGGGTCACAAAGTAAATGCCTCGTAGGGGTTTGACGAGGAAGGTTGCCTCGACGAGTGACCGCCTAGAAGTTTGACGAGGAAGATTGCCTCGGATTTGCAGATCTCAATGGAGTCTGAATTGTAGGTCTCGTAGGAGCCTATGTGTGTACTTTGTACCGAGGTGCGGGTCTCTCGATGGAGCCGGCACAGTCGGAATCAAAGTCTTCGTCGGAGGGTCGCAAGCCTCGGACGGTATGCAGGTCTCTGGAGGAGCCTGAAAGTATCGCTGTTTCGTCGCAGGGGGCGATCGAACAGGATCTTCGCCTCAGGTTGGGCTACCTCGGGCGGGACGCAGGTCTCTGGAGGAGCCTGGAGTATCGCTGTGTCGATGCGAATGGCTATCGCACAGGATCTTCGTCGGAGGTGGTCAGTCTCGGACGGTTTCGCAGGTCGCAAGTGGATCCTGGAGTTTACCGCTGTTTCGATGCAGGGGGCTATCGAACAGGGTCTTCACCTCAGGCTAGGCTACCTCGGGTGGTTGTCTCGTTAAGCGAGTAGTGGTTGCAAAGCACTATCAATATCACGTCGAGGAATGGCAGCCTCGACGGAAGCCTCGTGAAGCGAGCCTGTGAGCTTGAGCTCCAAAGTTCTTGAGCTTGATGACAGGGTTTTTTCAATCAAACCGTGGAAGATATGTTAAAAGTATATATTGAACAGAATTAACAAACAATAAAGGTTCACAATTAACATATACAAGTTATTTACCATGAATAAGATTTGTTACACAATTGCTCTGTATCGCTTTCCGTCTCATGTACTCCCACTGAAGTACTGTAAACGCCAAAAGTAGACGTTCGATCACTTTTGTGGGATTTCCATACTTTTGGCGGACCGGGCCTTGAATTGTCCGCCAAAATCTCGAACCAAAATCATCCATCGTCCCCATCAACGCCGGGACTCGTTCCCCTCTGGCCTCTACGGATTGTCGATGTCGGCGTCGGGGATTTTGGAGTTTTTTCCAGGTTTGGGAAAAACTCTACCCGCGGTCTCGGCTTGGGCTGCCGAGCATCGTATCCAACCGCCAGAGCGGTGGAACCTTCGGAAGACGGTCCTTTCGGCCCAAAGACGGGGAAATTGGAAAGATAGGTGATATTTTCCCCGTCCTCGTAAAAGGGCCTACGGAGGTCTTATTTCTGGATGGATTCATTTGAAATTTTGTGTTTAGATACACGGCATGACATAGTGCCGTGGTTGGAGGGTTCGACCGAGATCGCGCGGATACTTTCGGCGGCAGCTCTAAAGGCGTGAAAACCTATTATGGCTTAGCTGGCCGTTAGTAGTCGGGCGATTCGGTTCGAATTTGGATATGACAACCACCTAGCGATACTCTAGTGTGGTTGGAGGGTTCGGCCGAGATCGAATGAGCGGAACGGCTGAAAACGCGGAAAACGTGAAATCCGCGTTTCCCCGTATAACGGCGTTTTGGCTCATCCGATTCGGACGAAAATTTAGTAAGATAATGCTAGCGACTTGAGGAGTGCTGCATTAAATTTTGACACCGATCGCTCAATAACTTTTGGAGTTATTGGCGATAGCGTCCTTGACCAATTCAAAAGGGTGGTGAAATTTCTAATGGCCATTTCCAAATGTCATCGTGAAGCGTCCCGGGGTTCGACTGCAGGTTGCGAGAGCAGCGGCAGTGGTCACTGCGCGCCGGGATGGCAGACCCAGGCGAGATCGGTCGCGATGCGGGTGACACTGGAAAGGTCGGTGAAATTGGTCTTTAACGCTCTGGGAGCGCTATCGCCGTGAGGATCGATGTCTGAAGACTCCTATAGAGGCTTTTTCATTCTGCCCGGCCGACGGCGATTGATTTCGCAACCGTGGCGGGTTTTTGGTTTGAATTGGAAAGGTAGGTGAATATGATTGTTTCGCCTCCTTTTCAATTCAGCGGTCTCCGGCATATCCGTAGGTACAAGATTATGACTTCTACCAATATACAACATGTTCTAAAATCCTGAAGCTCGCTCGAAGGGTGGAATACGACATTTTCCTTTTTTTCATTTTTAGATACCGAATATGTCAAATTTCGTATGATCGAGTTTGAGGCTAGATATTACTCGGCCATTTTGAAAAAATTCTAGGCATGTATTCTAATTACCTAACCAGAACTTTATAGTACAGGTAATTTCAGAAAGAATAAAAAAAAATCAGTACTATTCGATTGGTTTTGACGCGTGGCTCGAATTTTTTCCAATATTTCCAACTGTGCGTCGGATGAAATAAAAATATGTAATTTTAAAGTAATTCTGACTTCAGATTTGTACTGGACTGGGACTGATTCTTCTTCCTTTTTGAATTTTCACCTGTTGCTACTCGATTTTCGAATATCTACAAATACGCCAAACTAATCAGTTTCAACAGACGATTTCTCAGAGAGGCAAAGATACATTCGAACCATTCAAAATTCATCTATGACGGAACATAACCTCAAATATATCAAAGTTCATCAATCAATTTTAAATCGCATTCGTATTAAGCGCATCAAAAATCTTCGAGAAAGTAAGTCATGGTTTCTGGTTTAAAATTTTGTCGGTCTGTGTTATGGGTCCTGCAGAGCCCGTACCATTGACGCCGAATTAAAGTTACATCCTGCACGTGTTTATCCTTGTTTTCCAGCAAGTAAATTATGGCTTGAACGCATCCCAAAGCATACCCGACACACAATCATGGCCGCCCGCTGTTCGACCCACACCCGTAGGTTCCGAAGTTACGGATCTACCGAAAAGCGTTGGCCAGGAAAATGCAAACTACCCCAACGCCAACGCTCAGTACGGTTACAGCCAGCACCAGCTAGGAACGAATATTCCATACCCGTACCAATCCTCCGCCGGGTATCCCAACCAGCAGCACCCGGTCGACCAGGACATCATCAACAGAATGAACTCCCTCCTGTCGAATATCAAAGGAGAAACGAAACCTTCCCAACGCATTACTCAGCACTCGTACAGCAACTACATCCCGCAAAACTACGCGACGACGGCGTATACTTACCCGACGCAGCCCGCGCCGCAGTCGGATCCCGCGGTGACCAGCTACGACCCAACAAAAGCCTACACGACCACGACCAATTCATACAGACCGCTTTCCAGTTACACGGTGCCGGACAGCACCAATACCCACATGCAGTATCCCAATTCCAGCCTGGGCGGTTCCGGGAACGAACCGACCACCAGCAACGCGTACCAGTACCCAAATTACTCCCAGCAAGGTCAGAACGTCGGATATTCCCAGACGGATGCGAACCAGACCAGTTCGTATAGTCAAGGGAATGTTAACTGCTACTACCCCGCCGGGTACGGACCGGGCTATAGCGGTCAGAGCCAGGGCGGTGCAGATCAGAGCGGTGGCGCACCCGGGCAGGTAAGATCGTATGTCGTTGGTTTAAAATTAATAAATTGATGATTAGGGCCGTCAGAATTGATCCGCGAGGCAAAGGTGTAGGCATTATTTATTAAAAAGTAACGACCATAAACACCAAGGGACAGGAATTAGCTACGCAACATCCGAACGATAACAAAGGCAACAGTATACTAACGTGACGTGAACGTGAAAAGCGGTGACTCGCGTAGGTCTCGGTTGATCCGCTTGGCACGCCATTTAATTGCGGCTCTCTCTGACAGCCCTATTGATGATATTTCTTTAAAATTTTCTCGGCAAAATGCCATTTTTAATGACTGGTACGATTCTGAGCGATATTCCCCCACCACTAGAAATCCTCACCTTGATAGATGTTCCTGTTCTCGCTAAAATGTACTGATTTTTGTTTTTTTTTGACTTGTTTTATTTAGAAAACTTTTTTCTTTTTGAGAAAATAAATCGGTTTTCGGCTCCCCTTCATTTTTGGTCAAAAAAAAGAAAATTTTTATTTTATTATATCGATTCCACCCCAAACAGGACCTCCCCCTTCCTTCCTAGTCAGAATCAAGGTCAATTAGAGGTCAGATTGAGAAAAAGTTCGTTAAATTAAAGGATTTCGGAATATAGGCTTTTTGGGTCGCTGAGTCCAAATCGGAGGTTAGTTTGTCTGTATCAGGCCATTTTAAGGTTGTTTCAAGGTCAAATTGAGAAGAAGCCTGCTCGGCTTCAGGCCCAACCATCTGTTTTACAGATTTACTGATCTTGGGGTTGCTGGGTTAGAATCCGTGGTTAGTTTGTCTGTATCAGGTCATTTAAAGGTCGTCTCAAGGTTATTCCAAGGTCAAATTGTAAAAACCGAGCAATTAAGTCTAACCGCCTGTTCTATATGTATAGCTGAGTTCGAATCTGAGGTTAGTTTGTCTACACCAGGTCAATTGAGGGTTATTTCAAGGTCATTTAAAGGTCGAACCAAGAAACAACCGAGAAATCGATTACAGTTTTTCAAGTCTTCGAGTTTGAATACAAGGTCTGTTTATTGTACATATGTATCAAATCAAGTTTAAGGTAATTGCAAGGTCAATTTGAGAACAAAAGCCGAGCAATCAAGTTCGACCACATGTTATACATGATTTTGGGGTCGCTGGGTTAGAATCTGAGGTTAGTTTGTCTATATCAGGTCATTTAAAGGTCTTTTCAAGGTCATTTCAAGGTCAAATTGTAAAAACCGACAAATTAAGCCTAACTGCATGTTATATAGGTATTTGGGATAGCTGAGATCGAATCCGAGGTCAAACTAAGAAAAAAACCGAGAAATTATTATTATTATACAGGACTTTGAGGTCGCTGAGTTCAAATCCGAGATCAGTTGGTCTGTATCAGGTTATTTGAAATGAACTTTGAAACAAAAACAAACAAAATGACCTTGAAACAACCTTAAAATGGCCTGATACAGACAAATTAACCTCCGATTCAGACTTAGTTGCTCAAAAAATCTAAACTCGGAGCTTTGATTTAATGCACTTTTTCTCAATCTGACCTCTAATTGACATTGATTGTGACTAGGAAGGAGGGGGGAGGTCCCGTTTGGGGTGGAATCAAAAAAATATTCTGGTTTTTGGCCAAAAATGAAGAGGGTCCAAAACCAGCCCCTTTATGCAAATAGCATTAATAAATATAATTATTCGCTGTTCAGTACTATTTCTAAATTTTCACCTGGATTTTCAGTTTTCTCATTCATATTTGCCCAAAAATAAGAATCAATAAATTTGATCAACCATGTAAGCAGTTTTTTGTTGTTATTTGCCTTAGAAGCGATACAGGTCTTGCTTTCGTACTACCTGCGAAATAGCAGGTTGCTCTCTGTCAGTTTGACTGTTTGAAGGAAAATTAATATACAGTGTTTGAATTTTCAGGTGCAGTACCACTCGTTGCAGTACGCAACATCAGTGCAGCCTAACCAAACGAATTACTCGTACAATTCCACTTATTCATCGCCGAATTTCAACACGTCCAGTGCAAAAGCTGGGGAAGACAAACACATGGCCACCGGTTTAAATGCGGCAACCTCTCAAGCCCAAACAAATTACTCTGCTACGGTTGCTTCTCAACCCCAGTACATAAATCAACAGTCTTATACACCGAGTGGGACACCGACTCTTCAACAAACAGGCTCTATGGCAGCAGCCCGCCAAACGTATTCGCCTTATCAAAACCAACAAATACACTCCAGTGATTCTGTTCCATCGGTTTCCTATCCTGCCACCGGCACTCAACCAACATATCCCCCTTCTGCCACTCAGCAAACTTATCCCACTTCTGTCACTCAATCAAGCTATCCCACTTCTGCTACTCAGTCAACTTATCCCGCTTCTGCTACTCAACTAAATTATCCTGCTTCAGCCACTCAGCAGACTTATCCCCCTTCTGCCACTCAGCAGACTTATTCCCCTTCTGCCACTCAACAGACTTATCCTCCTCCTGACACTCAATCAACTTATCCAGCTTCTGCCACTCACCAAACTTATCCCACTTCTGCTACTCAGCCAACTTATCCCGCTTCTGATTTATATCAGAATGGTCCGAGTTCTTCATACGGCACCGGCACTCACCTGTCGTATCAAACTCATTCCACTGTCTCGAAAGATGCCCTTCACTCGTATCCTTCTGAAGCGCAGCACTCTTATTACCCAACAGAAGCACATCAGGGGTATTCTAACCCTAATACACCTCAGTTGTACCAAACGGGCAGCGGTTCATCCATCGCCGATCAAAACGCTGGTGCAGTGGGATATTCCAGTTATTATCCTCAGGCTTATACCCAGTACACTGCTAGCCAAGCGCAGGTGGGGCAACAAGCCGCCACCCCTACAGCGAATAAAACCAAAGAATCCAATGTCGATCTGCTAAGCGGCCTGGACTTCACCATCAGCCAGGCGCCTCTTATCCCGCAACAGAATGTCGCTTCTAAGTCCGAGACTGGCGAAGTTAAACCCTCCGACGCATCTGAGAGTAAAACGAACGTGTCGAAACCCGTGCCTCCTAAAGAAGAACGACCCGCCTTGCCCGAGATTAAAAGACTAAACGTGAAGATACTGCCGAGCAAGCAGCTGAACAACAACGACGTGAAATGCCTTTTTATGCAGGAGATCGAGAAGTATGAAAAGTATGTGGAGACCCTGACGAATAAGACGTTGAGCGGACCGACCAATCTGGACATCAAGTGGAAGGAGATTCAGGACAAGCAGGACGCCGAGGGGCAGAAGAAGATCATCTCGGTGGCGAGGTGTTACCCGATGAAGAACCGTTTCCCGGATATCCTGCCTTACGACTATTCCAGGGTGGAGCTGCACGGGACTAAGGACGATTACATCAATGCATCTTACATATACGTAAGTAATGAATAAACCTTTTTTTAATCGTTTGTTTTTCATTATTAGGACTTTTACTTTACTGGGACGTGCTTTGAACTTGCAGGGAGTGTCGACAAAGTGTAGCTGCAGTATCTCGTTTATACGCGAAAATATTTTTTTGCATTTTTTAAACAAACAATAATCTTTAGGCAAACTTTTAATTTATGGGAATTGTTGACAAAGTGTGGCTACAGCATCTCGTTTATATGTAGAAAAATTTCTTGCATTTTTAAAACAATGGCGCACGTGTTGGAGAGCAAACCTGTAAATACATTTTTTATTTGCGTTACGTTTATATGCGGAAATAGTTTTTTGCGTTTTCTAAACAATGCCGCACATTAGGAAAAGACTAAACTTGTAGACGCACTGTTAATTTACAGGAAATATCGACAAAATGCAGTTGCAGCATCTCGTTTATATGCCGAAATAGTTTTTTGCATTTTCTAAACAATCCCACATGTTAGGAAATCACTAAACTTGTAGACGCACTGTTAATTTACAGGAAATATCGACAACGTGCAGTTGCAGCATCTCTTAACTTACAGACATGTTTTTAGTTTACAGGAAGTGTTGACAATGTACAGCTGCAGCATCACATTTATATGTAGAAAGATTTTTTGCATATTTAAAACAATGGTGCACGTTTTGGAAAATAAACCTTTAAATGCATTTTTAATTTGCGTTACGTTTACATGCGGAAATAGTTTTTTGCGTTTTCTAAACAATGCCGCACATTAGGAAAACACTAAACTTGTAGACGCACTGTTAATTTACAGGAAATATCGACAAAGTGCAGTTGCAGCATCTCTTAACTTGCAGACATGTTTTTAGTTTACAGGGAATGTCGACAAAGTGCAGCTGCAGCATTTTGTTTATATGTGGAAAGTTTCTTTTGTATTTTTAATTTATGAGAGTGTTGATAAAATGCAACTGCAGCATCTTCCATTTTTTTTTACATTTCTTAAACAGTGGGCCACATTTTGGAAAATAACGAATTTTTAGATACGCTTTTAATTTACGGGGAGTGTTGGCACAGTGGGGTTGCAGCACCTCGTATATACGCGGAATTGTTTCCGTTTAGGATTCACCCAATACCACAGATGTTTGTTAATTTGGTTAAAAATTGACCTGATTTAAAATGTTTGCAGGAGCAGTGATTAGGACAAAGTTACAGTAAATCAAAGATGTGAATTAACGATGCGCAGCCGTATTAGCTTTTTAACCTTGGTACAAACACAATTTTTTTTGATTTAATCATTACCTGGGCAATAATGTCGGAGATACTTGTCGCCTAAAAAATTATGAATTAATCTGTTTTAAGCATTGCCGTCTTTTGTAAAAATCATCGAAACTGATTTTTTTAGGATGTGTCTCCCTACGCGCCTTCCTTCATAGTGACTCAGACGCCAACGTCGTCAACTTCCGGCGATTTCTGGACTATGATCAGGGAGCAACAGGTCGAATTGATATTCTGCGTGTCCAACGACACAGAGGCGAGTCTAAAATATTTAATTTTGTTGCGTGTTCATTGTTTTCACTTTGATTTTTCTCTGTTACAGATCGGACAGGACGTTTACTGGCCGAAAGAGAAGGGCCAGCATCTGAACGTCCTCAACATGGTGATATCTTTGCAGAGCGTGATAGTAAAGTCCCATTGGATAGAAAGACTGATCTCCGTGAACTTGCCCGAGAAGAGGGAATCGTGGGTCGTGATGCACCTGCAGTTCACTTCCTGGCCTGGAAGGTAAGTGGAAAATCAATTTGTAGGATGAGTAAATTTGATTTCCTTGAAATTTTGGGGTCCGTGGATCCGTCAGATCTGGTTGTTTGATGGCCATTGCAAATAATGTTTCCGTTTTTCTTGTTTTTAAAGGGTTTGAATGTTATGGTCGAAGAAATTAACTGTTTCTGAGAAAAAAAATGCATTTAATGTCTTGTGGCATTTTTAAAAATGGTTAAAAGTCCTTTAAAAAGTTGTGATCAAATTTCTGGTCAATAAGGGTCATCGACGATAAGTTTCTGGATGTTGTGAATATTTTTTAGAAATTTAATCCTTAGAAAATTCAAAGGTCCGTAGGTATCAGATCTGGTAATTAGATGGACGTTCTACATATTTCTGTTTTTCGTGATCTAAAAGTCTATATTACGTATACAGGGTCTTCAGAAACTGTGCTCATAATATTTATTTTTCAAAAGCTTTAAATAAATTTCTTTTAAATTAATATTTGGCCATAACTTTTTTCCAGTCCAAGCGATATTTATCAAATCAGAATTATTATATACTATTTTTCGTAGAAACTGTCGGTTTCCTATAATAACTACATTCAAAGGTCTGTGGGTACCAGATCTGGTTATTTGACGGCTACTCCAAAATTATATTTCTGGTTTTCCCTATTTTTTTAAAACACTACTTTTGGAATCATAAAAATAATGGTTTTTATAAAAGTTTAATTTTGTCATCTTTCGTTTCCATCACAGTTTGTTCCCCACCTCCCCCGAACCGTTCATCGCCTACGTCCTGGAGCTGATAACCCTGTACCAGCAGCAGCGGTGCGCCACCCACCCCGTAGTCGTCCACTGCACCTCGGGCATCGGCAAGAGCGGTCTCGCCTGCCTGCTGACTGCCGCCATCTACGACGTGACGAACAACTCCAATTCGGTGCCTGACCTCGCCTGTCTCGCCTCCAAGCTGACGAACTGTCGGAAGAACATCCTGCGGGACAGGGAGCACCTGAAGTTCGCCTACGAGGCCTTCCTCTCGTACATGAAGCAGATCGTCAATCAGGGTAAGTCGCCGCTGACCGTTTCGTTTATTTTGTTACTTGCACGTTTTATCCGCAACTAACGTCTTTTCAGGTTATAATTATACTGTTTTAAGGATAAGTAATTTTACTACATTTGCGTACAAAAAAGTTGAAAAACAACGAATATTTTGATGATTAACAAGTTTTTACCAAATTTTCTAAGTCGATAATTGCTTTCAGTTTTATTCGCTTTCTTAGCATTCATTTGACTAATGCTCAGTTCAGTTAATTTTACCGTGAGTAGAGCGTGCGATAAGTATGTAGTGTTTTTCTTGGTTGTGGATTTTGTTAAAATGGTAAAATGGAACCTGTTAAAATGCCTTTAATTTACGGGGAATGGTGACAAAATACAGTCGCAGCATCTCGTTTATGCATGAAACATGCGATAAGGTCTATATCCTTCGAAATGGCTGAAATTGAGGAAGAAATCCTAGAAAACTTTGAAAATTATTAAATGACTTGGAGCAGGTTCATATTGAATCAAATTAGAGTGGACCACGGTAAAGTATGGAATACGATAAGACAGGAATAATTTTTTGAATTTATTTTATATTTTATAAATATATATATTTATAATTAATGCTGGCGAAATGCAGCCACAACATCTCGTTTATAAATTAATGGAATATGAGAGAAGGCGTGTATGACTCCAAATGGCTGAAATTGAAGAAGAAAAAATCAGAAAAAGTGTTTCGATGATGAACACTAGTTTTATAACAAATTAAGTTGGTTCGATAATACGTGAAAATATCACAAAAGTATTCAAAAGCCAAATCTATGTTGAAGAAAGTAGCCGCTGATCTGCGAAATTGACGATCGGGATATGTTCCTGAGAATATTTTTACCGCAAATAACGTTTAAATTAATGAATAAAGAAAAAACATAATTTCGAAAAATTTTCAAAATGTTTTGTTTTTTTGGAAAACCTTCTGGACATTGAAGAAAACAAAATCAAATTGTTTCCAGCACGATTCGGATTTTCCGTCCTATGCTTCTGTTCATCAACTTTTAATTAAATTAAAATTAAAGTTGATGACTTTTGACAGAAATTTCTAATTAACTTTTGTGCAGTATGTAATCACTTAAAAAACAATTTTTTTTCAAAACTACCCTTTTTACTACCCTTTGTCGCCGATATGTTGATGATTGAAGACAAAAGGATCCTTTTCCATTAAAAGTTCGATATTTCGATGAAAAATTTTGACCCTTTAATTTTTTGCATTAGTTCAAGTGCAAACAAATTAGTACTCAAATATTTATTTAATTAAAAAAAAAATAGTTTCATGTTAGCATTCTGGAGAACATTTTTATTACCCCCAAAAAATCGATACTCGATCTATATACGATACTGTTTAGGGGATTTTAAGTAGATGACCTATTTTTAACAGTTTTATGTCCCGTTGAAAAAAAGTTTCAACTGAATGTCCCCAGGGATTTTTTAATCATGTTGTATTTGGAGCATTCCACCCAAATCGACCAATTTCAATTTGGCTGAAACTTTTTTATTGTTTTTTTATAACATTCAAAACCTCTGAGAATTTTTTCAAATTTTTTCACCCGACTAAAAAATGTATGAATTTAAAAAAAAAATTGCTTTTTATTTTATATAACCATAACTTTTTCAAAAATTGAATTATCAAGACGTTTTTTTTTCAAAATTTTTGGCTTAAATGTACTTTTTGAAAAAAATAGTTCAAAATTATCTGGACCTATCTTCATTGTTTTTTTTTTAATTTTCTAAAAAAAATGAAAATAAAATATCTCGATGACCATTTTTAAACATTTTTTTTTTTCTAATAAAAAACAGATATTTTATAAATCCTCAAATTTTTTCAGTGGTATTTTTTGTTTTCTATTTTTTTTATTGATTGAAAAAATTTTCACATAACCATTTTAAAAAAATTTATTCTATGCAGCGATTGATAACAATTTGAAAAAGTCAAAAGAGGATGGTTTCAAAATGGTTTCAAATACGTTGCATCTTTTTTTAAAGCTCACTGTTCGTCCAAAAATGGACCTAATAACAATTTTTTTTGCATTTTCTTTGTTTTTGGATGCAGTTTTCGAAAAGATACAACAAAATTATTCAAAACGATCTATTTTTTTCTTAATTAAAAAAAAAATAAATTTTTTTCAGCTAAATTTGAAAAAAAAATTTTTTTTCAATGAATAAAAAAAATAGAAAACGAAAAAACACCACTGAAAAATTTTGAGGATTTATAAAAAATGTCAGTTTTTTATAAGAAAACATTTTTTTTTTTCAGAAATGGTAATCATCGAGAAATTTTCATTTTTTTTCGAAAATTGAAAAAAAAAACAGTGATACCAGATAATTTTGGTAGTTTTTTTTTCAAAAAACATTTAAATACAAAAATTAAAAAAAAGCGTCGCGTCGTGATAACTCAATTTTTGAAAGTTATGGTTATTTAAAAAAAGCTATTTTTTTGAAAAATTCATAACTTTTTTTGAATTGGGTGAAAAAATTTGCAAAAATTCTTAGAGGTTTTCAATGGGGTAGAAAACAATAAAGTTCCAGCCAAATCGAAAGGGGTCAGTGGTCGATTTGGCGAGGAATGTCCCATTTGTGTCTTATTAGAATCAAAAGGAACTCAAACACTTAAATTTTATCGATTAACTGTTATTTGGCTAGAGAGAATGAAGAAACGGCTGAACGAGATGGTGCCCAAGCAGCAGGAAGAAGCGAAGCAACCCTTAGAGGTAGCGGAGAAGAACGAGGACCCCCTCAGTTCCTTGGACCCGTTCTGGGCCAGCAAGAAGTAGGCTTCACGAAATATACACATAAATTTTTAAGTACCAAGACGTGTAAAACCATTGATTTGAATATCGTTTTTACTTATTTAAGTGCCTATATTATACAATATATCTCCGGGATTATATTTACCGTTTTAACGTTTTATTATTGAGTATTTTAATAATTTATTCCTATTTTAAATTATGTAATATATATATTCGTACGATGTGATCATCACTGTAAATTTGTTATACCATTATGATTTAACAATAAAGTGCAAGCTTCTGTACAGGGCGTCTTGAGTTATTCGATCCGCGACTGCAAGAAAAAGTTTTCTACAGGCCGTACGGTATTTGTTGAGATAGAATTCCAAGACTCGAATAAGCCAATAAAGTTCTGTTATCGGAACTACTCTAACAATTTACCGCCCATGTCTTTCTACCTTGGGTGATGAATGCGGTTAATTCCAAGAAAGTGACGCAGGGGTCTTCTTGGAATTCAATTTATACATGGGTTGTTTAGAGGACCGGTGAAATTTAGGAGTTCTATAGGAAGTAGGCAACCAGCAATACATTTTATAGATTTTATTGCACAGTTTGTCAAAATATGAATTAATGCACAAATAACAGACTTTCCACCATTCTAACGCAGATTTTCTATAAAATGGACATAAATTGACCGTCAAATTACTTTTTGTTGTAAAGAAATTTGTAATTTGCCCCTTTTGAATAAGCGGCATTGTATTGTACAATATAGAACACCCTTAAGGTGTAACACCAGTGTATAATTTTCTGAAAATCTTTTTTTAAATAATTTAAATATTGTTTTGAGCCTTTAGAATAAGGGGGAAGAGATTTTATTCCTGGACAAATTATTTTTTGAGCTTTTCCCAAGCTGCTTTGTTCAATTGTAAGCATTTTCAAACAAAAGTACATTAGTACAGCATACATCATGGGCGTAGCTACAATTTTTGCTTAGAGTGGGCCCAGGGCTGCAAACTCTAATAAAAAAAAATGTCTCGAAATCAACGACTTTGCCAATATAAAGAGTGACCTCGAAAAACCTGTGATTTTCGCCCGTTTTTTCACAATTCGCAGATAATTAAAAAAAAATACATAAAAATATGTTTTTGGTCGCAAATTACTTGTCGTAAAAAACTGAAATGAGCATAGCTTTTAGTATTTTGAAAATTTTAAAAATCTCCCCTACTTAGGGGTTGAAAAAATGCCAAAAATGAAGAATTTGAATATTACCAATTGAATTGAAACTATAGCATGTGAATCATCTTAATATATTTTTTTGGACTTTTTACAATTATTTCTGATATTCTCTATTTTTGGGGATGATTCCACCTCCTGAGCGCGCTTAAGGGTGGATTTTCTAATTCAACATGCTTATGTCAGTCATGAGAATAAATTTTTCTTTGTATCAAGAATCATTCGATAGAAAAATTCACTTGCTAATAGTTTTTATATTTATTGGTAATATTCAATTCTTCATTTTGGGCATCTTTTCAACCCCTAAATAGGGGTGATTTTTGAAAATTTTCAAAAAAGTAAAAGCTATGCTCATCTTAATTTTTTACGACGAGTAATTTGAGACCAAAAACATTTTTATCTATTTTCTTTAGTTCTCTGCGAATTGTGAAAAAACGGGCGATTTTTGCGGTCACTCTTTAATTTGATTCTAAAAAAAAAGGTCACGCAGCAGTCACAGACCTATCGATATGACAGATAATAATAGATCTTTTTTTCTCTTGCTACGCCCATGCCGTCTATCTTAAAATTTTGAAAACGTTTCTTTCGAAACACAATTTTTTAAGCACGGAGCATAATTCCAACAATTTTCAATTCGAATTTTTGAAATAACATTCCGATGAAAAGTATTTATAGGATTTTCGATAAGTTGATTTTAACTTTGTTTATCGACAAATAATTGCCGCTTTTTTGTCAAAAATTGAAATATTAACTTCAATGCTCGCCAATCACAACAATTAATGTTTTCGAAATCCACTACGTATTTCTCTGACTACGAAGTCATGTAGTTACGAGAAAATGTTTTGTTTTTTTCCATATGCAAATTTGTGTCAATTGCACTACGTGCCACAGAGCGCCTCTGATTCAAGAATGCTCGCGAGAATGACTAGCGTCACCATAATTTCATTTATAATACGAGATGTTAACACTGTGACAAATTTTAATGGTGAATTTTACATCGCAATGATTTTTACATTCATTTTATTCAAAAAAAGCCATTTCGCAAATTATTATTTTTTCAAATTTAAAACAAGCCTGTAATATACTTGCATAAATCGAAAATAACTTCAATACCACTTGCCGCACTAAAAAAATTGTAGGAATTTTTTATCGAAAGAATACCAACAATTCTTCTAACTTCTGATGGTTATATTTTACTTATTCTCTTAAAATTGTATTTATAACATAAAATTTCTACAATTTTTCTTGTGAGATGAACAGCTTTGGAGTTATTTTCAATTTATTCATCTTTTACCTTAGGCTAATTTTAAATATTAAAAATGTAATAACCAAAATTTAGCTCGTTTTTCAAATAAAATTAAACATCTTGTTGAAAATAACTGGAATTAAAACATATTTATCCAATTTTCAAAATATTCGTGGCATCGAAATTCTATGATTCTTGACTGTAATTTCCAATATCTCTGCTACTGGTTGGCAGATCTGTGTACTAGTCAAATTTCAATCCATAGCCCAAATTTCATCAATCTATGTCCAACATCTTTAAATAAATGTGATATTTTTTTAAATTTCAACACCCTGTATCTCAACAAGGGTTTCCGGATACATATTTACACTTTTTTTTATCGAGTTAAGCAGTTTGCCAGATCATATTAACACCCTGTGTACCTAATTATGTAAATGTAATTTAACAGAAGATGTAGTAATTTTCTGATTGTCGCCATCTAGATCTTCTTTGTATAAATAAAATGATTAAACAGAGATATCTCTGATTAAACCGCTATAATAGGATGAGAAGGTAATAATTTAATTTTCTTGTATTTATAACGAGCGTTCAAATAAAAACGTGGTCGAAGTTGGCTCTGACAGATTGGACGTAGGGAGTAGCTTATAGCGACCAACTTAATCTCATTTCTCAACGAGCTGTATAGCAGCTGTCAGTTTCAATAATGTTAATGACTATATAACTTTATTTTAAAGAATAATCGTGATAACAATAACAAACAATTAAAGGTGCTGCGGAAAATGTCCCCCTCCTTGTTATAACAATAAATTAAAGCAGCTGCTAAAAGTGTCCCCCTCCTTGTTCCAAGCACTTTTCACACCTGTTCCTCAAAGAATTAAAGACATTTTCTAAGATGCTCGGGGTATTGTTAATTTCACGAATCTTGTCTATAAGTCGAGCCTGCAGATGGTTTAAATCAGGAATAGGCAGTTCAAAAATAGTGTTTTTAAGGTAAGGCCACAAAAAGAAATCACACGGCGTAATATCACATGACCTCGGTGGAAATTCATGTTCAGCATTGATTATTAGTCGATTTTGGAAAACTTCCCTCAACATATTCATCGTCTCGCCTGCCGTATGTGCCCTTGCGTCATCTTGTTGAAAGTAAAAGTTTGTAATTTCGTTTTCTTCCAGCTGGTTAACAAAAGGAGCGATAATTTCTTCTCTATACCTTTGCGCAGTAAGAGTACCATTAAAAAAAATAGGCCCATAAATCCTCCTTCGATTGAGAGCACACCAAACTCCAATTTTTTGAGCGTGTAGAGGACCCTCGACAAAAAAGTTATGTGGTTTTACAGAAGACCACACTCTCATATTCTGTGAGTTTACGTAACCACTTAAATGAAACCAGGTTTCATCAGAAAAAAAGGTGATATTATGAAGTTCACCGTAGTCGTTTAAAAACCATTCACAAAATACAGCCCGTCGCGGAAAATCAACTTCATGAAGTTCTTGCTGACAAGTTAAACGATAGGAGAACAAACGCAAATCTTTTTTTAACACTGTGTGGCAGGCACCGACTGATACTCCCTCCATTTGTGATAAAACACGTACAGAAGTTCTTGGCGCATTTTCCATTATTTGTTGGACATTTTCTTTTAATTCTTCAGTCCGCTTTTTAGGTCGGCCGCTTCCTTCTTTTCTTGTTACACTGCCCGTTTCACGAAAAACATTAACACAACGCTGAACTGCACTTTGAAAAATTTTGTACTCAATAACGCCGGGAAATTGATTTTGAAATTCTATGAAACAATCCTCAATAGAATACTTCCATATTCCATCAATCTTGCGTCCGTTTCAGGACTCTATGATAAACACTTTTTGTTCTTGAGAAAACACCATTTTAAACGCTTTTTAAAACGAAAATATTCAAATTGATAGCGGCGATATAGCGTTTTGACAGATGACGTTTAAATTCATTTGCTATACGCTACGCCCTACGTCCAAATTTTCAGAACCAACTTGACCACGTTTTTATTTGAACGCTCGTTATAAGAATGATGTGCCCCCTTTATGTCAGTCATTTAAAAACTCTAAATAAGAAGGTCGGTAAAGAAGAATTCTATATCAACATTGCTCGTATAGCTTTCTAATATAACCTTAGTTATAAATAGATGGCGCAACGTAATAAGATTATTTTACAAAGGCTTTGGTGTTTGAATGGAGCCACCGGCTTGTTTATGCAACAAAGAACAATGATATTAGTTAAACCGTTATTATCGAATAAAATCCATCTAACAAAAAGCGCAGCTATAAACAGAGAGTTCATATTAATTAAACTGCTATAATAGAACGGAAAAAGCAACAAAGGTAGTTAAATCCGATTGACGTGCCCTCTATACGCGAATAATGAAAGCTTAAAGATGGACGAAATTAGTAGGTAAAGAAGTATACTTTATTTCCCTGCTCGTATAACTGTTTCATATAACTTTTGGAACATAGATGACGCGACATGTATTATTTTACAGATGCGTTTGCTCTTCAGTGAAGCCATCGGTTTTTAACAAAGGGAAAATATTAACTACAGGGTTATAATTCAATGATAACAGCAATATAAAAAATAGTAATGAGAAGAGAAAGAAGAGAAATCGTTGAACGAGATGCTCTCTGGTCTTCAAAGGCCAAAAGTTTTAGCGTAAGTAAGTCATATGCTACAGTAGCTTTAAGAAGTACTGATGCGACGATGGTGTGGAAGTATTAAGATGGTTTTAGAATTGAAATATTTTATATATATAGTTTTTTTATTTTTTCACTCATACAGAAATTTATAACCGATATAATTATAACAAAGTGTTGTCTGATCTAATATTCAAAATCGCTAACGTCAAGGCGGGACTTACATGTCTATACGTCAGAATTTTACTGGCTCCATCTGTCGAGGTTGGATCGAATCATTCAATGTAAGAATATATAGAAACCATTCGTTTTGATTATTTCAATCGTTGTAAATATTCAGTGAATTAACGGTACTACTTCACAGATGGCCAAATCGTAGGTTTAGAAAAAGTGGACATTAGAACAGATTAGAAGTAGAAAAAAAATAGTGTTAGTGTAGTGATGAAACAGGGTGGTCTTGAAAGCTGCGAATTTGTTTACGCAATAGCGGGAAGAAATCAAATCTTTTCTGGTTATCATTTGCGCTCATTCAGCACATTGTAGGTGTATTAATATTGAAACTAAACTGCTGAACATGTAGTTACTAAACTTTATTGTTTGTGGTATACACGTTTCGCACACTCTTGAAAACAGACAGGAAAATGGGAGATAACTGCAGAACTTGCTTAATTCTTGTCGATGAAAACAATGCTATTTCCGTGAATCAGTACGCTGAAAAGTTAAGTTCTCGTCGCATTCAAATAAGCGATATTATAGAGCAGTGTGTATCAGAATTGGTAAATAAACAATAGCAGTGCTTTTTTGTTTCTATATTACGGAAATTTTTTCAGGATTTGGAAATCTCCAACGCTCCGGTAATATGCAATCCTTGTTACGACTCGTTGATAAACATCTACACTTTTAAATTAAAATGCATTCGAACCGAGGAGAAGATTTATGCTTACATGGAGGAAAACAATGTTAGGCTGGGAGAAGGTAAGATAGACCTGTCGAAAGTAATGGGAAGTAGAAACTCCGAAGTTGAGGAAACTGTAATTATATCGGATTCCGAGTCCGTGCAAGAAATAAGCGGATGCGAAAATGAGGATGCATCCGTTACCCGAATAGATAACGTCGTTAAAAATTGCTTCGACGTGGGAGAAAGAGACCAACGAACTGATAAAGAAAGGTAAAAACTGGTGATATTTGAGAGCAAAAAGTGGCGTTTTTTTATTACTTTGTTTATTTCTTCTCTCTACGAGAAAAATACATATTTCTACAGAACTTTTATCCGGAAACTACCCATGTATTTGATGAATCATTCATTTGTTAAGCATTTTGATATCATTTTTCTATTTTTTAAATAACTTGCGTAAATTTAGTAATCTGATTACTAAAGTAGTATTTTCGATTCAATGCCTTGGCAAAGAATGTTTTTTGCAACGACAAAAGCAGTGGCTCTTAGAAATTTTCATTTAAAATTAATTTAAAATTCTGCACCCTGAATACGTGAACTCCGCGTAGCTCGCTCCTACATGTGTAAAGTGTTTACAAAGGTGGTCATGGTTATCGTCGCGCAGTAGTGAAAAACGGAGTGGGGACGGAGTTTTGCTGAAGATTAATCTGTGTTCAAAACATGAAAACTACAGCGATTGTCTCTAACCTCAAAAAAATTATTCTATTGCTGTTGAAAAAACAGTAAAATAGATTGAGTTGGAAAAGATCTGCTACTCTTAAGATTATCAAATTTTAATTATTTACATAGATTTAATAAAAAAAGTCCAAGAATAAAACAAAACGGGCATTACGTTGATTCAAACCTGCCCGCTCTAGAGTTTAGTCTGACAATCATAATATTGTGAGACTCCATGTAGACCCTAACCCCTAACACAAGAAACTCAAGGTCAGGGCCGGATTAACCTATGGTGAGGCCCGGGCAGCTATACACTGGCCGTTTTTCTAAAAAAACAACGATATAAAATTTCGACACGTAAACAGGTTTGTTTGATTCTAAAAAAAGGTCACGCAATCAATTTCAAAACCTAAAAATTTTTTGGTTTGGTTCTAAACAAAAGCTAAAATTCATTTTGCCAGATCTTACCGAGGCCTATGACCCCCGTAGCCCTCCCCCTTTAAGCCGGCCCTGCTTAAGGTAACCAATTTAGATGATTTAGGTTGCCAAAAAAGTCTATTTCATTTTAAGTGTGACAAATTAATTTTAAAAGTTTACGTTGAATATCCACGCCATCTTTTTTCGATAACCTTTTTAAACATCAAATAGTCACTTTTTGGCAGCATAAATACTAACCTAACCTAAGTTTTCAAATTTCATCAGTTTTTCTGCATTTTGCTCCAATTAGTCAATCCAAACCACGTGACCAAATCGGAATTCAATATGGCGTTGAGGGCAAACATTTGTTTGATTCATACAATTTTGTGTGTGCTTTGTTAAGAGTTTGCGTTTTTCTGTTGACTTGGCTTTGTTTTTTGAACTTTAACTGTATAGTGAGTGTTTCGTGGATTGTAGTAAGGTGTCTTTGTTGTTGTCACTCAATATGCAGAGTGATTATTTAAAGAAACTGTTGGTGGAATGTCCGGATGTAGGAGACAGTTTAAAACACCTAAATGTTTGTTACTCTAAACATTCTGCGAATGTTAATTATCTTATTAGCTATATTTACCCATTGTATTTTGTTTAATAGGTATAAAATGAAGCTAACTCTAATCCATAGTTTGGATCCTTTCTGAGTTACGTTACCGGCATTGGTAATACATATCGTTGCGACACAATTCAATAAAAGACGAGTTGAACACTCCCTTAAATAAAACGCATGAATAATTCCTTACAAAAAACTCGGATTAAACACTTTTAACTAAAAACTTCTGGACTGACTTCAATGCATTCTCAATGTAAACATAACTTGTTTGCCCTCAGCGCCATATTGCTTAAAAATTTGACAGGTCGTTGGACTGCCTAATGATACACTCACCTCAAGTTTCTGTTTACTTTAGGTTCTTTTATGATGAAAAATGTATTATTATGCAAAAGAATAATTTTATTCAAGCTCGACAAAACATAATTAAACAGTTGTATCACTAATTTATTGGAATTTGAGGCAGGGTAGTAAGTCTGAGGTGCTTGGATCTTTAAATCACGATAATACAAATTCTTACGTACTCACTTGTTTTGTATGCTATGAATCGTTTTAGCTCTTCTACGCCTGTCGCTTTTCTGGGTGAATCGTACTCCTGCGCTAAATGCCCGTATAAAACTTACAGAAAGGATTTGCTAGAGAGACACCTCCAATACAACTGTAAGCACCCCGGATGCCATGCGTGTATATATGAAAGCGCCCGAAAGTGCCATATGCCTAGGCACATGTTCAAGCACAGATGCAACAAGGCCAAGGGGTATTTCTGCGGACTTTGCAACAAATTTATCACGGAGAAGCGTAATTTGAGGTTACATATTCTGTACAAACATTCCAGTGAGTTTTGGATTACACCTAATATACAGAGTCTTCTTAGTTGATTACGCGTGACCAGACATTTTCTTTGAAACAGTAATTTTATTTCCTACGCGTTAAACTTACTAAAATAATATCAAGATTAACCTAAAAACAATAATCGTTATAATCGTTTTTGAAATCTCTGTACCTGGAACAAGTGAACTGTGATAGGAATATATTCCCTTAGATTTATTTTTATAAATTTTAGGTTTTACGCTACCATACAAATGTACAATAGGAGGTTGCGATGATACGTTCGAAAGAAAATCTGAGTTCAATAACCACATCGTCACACACGTTAGTTACAAACCCTTCATTTGTCAACTGTGTAAGAAAGGGTTTTTTAATGAAACGCAATGGGACAAACATTTGGAAGAGGATCACAAACTCTGTTAGTTTGGAGGATAAGAGACTTGAAATAATCTTGGAGTTTCCCAAGGAATTATTGTTTATTTCGTTCAATTACACGAGAAAAATATAAATATGTGAACAAACGTGTTGAATATATTTAGCTTATTTTGTCACACATGAAACATGCTTTTATTTCTACTCACTTCTACCTTAAAGAAGAACACGTAGTTTGATTCGTATTCTTGTAGTGAATAAAACGAAACTTTCTAAACACCCTAGTTGAAAAAGTAAGCATTCGTCTTGTACCTTTGGATTTCAATATCGCTTGGAATTATCAATCTTGTGGGATCTAAGTTTTGGTACGTCACTGGATGTACTATTATTTTTGACCTGCGTCCTCGCTTCTTCGGTTTTGTTTGAGTCTTTATTTTCTTGGTGGCATCTGTGAACAGTCTTACCGTGAAGAAGTAGATTATTTCTAATCCAGATACGAAGCTAAACCCGACGAACAATCCCAGTAACCCCCCATAGTATGCTGGAAAAAGTATTGTTCTTGATTTAACAACGACTGATCATACAAAGATCTACAGCCCGTCAATATTTGTTGAGATAGAATTCCAAGAAAATAATAAGCCAATAAAGTTCTGTTATCGGAACTACTGTAACAATTTTCCGCAACAGGGGTTGAAATTTTCTGCGAATTCATTGGAATTCTATCTCTACAAATATTGTATGGAGTGTTAGTACAGTTATTGAAGCTGAAAATCAGCTGTAACCTCCGAATTCTTTGAAACTGCATGGATTTGCATGAAAATTTAGAATAAGGCTCATCTTAGGCTCAAGTTCAAAAGTGACATAAGCCCGTTTGACGCTTTTTATTTTTTAGGGGCAAAAACTACCCCTAAGTGAAAAAAATTGAAGAAATTAAATTTTAAGGATTTTATTGATAAAAATCTTGTTCAAGCACAAAGATTAAATAATGTTCCATGTTCTCGAACATGTTTTATGATATATTTGATCTTTCCGACCCATTATTTAACCCTTAAAAACTAAACCTATGCAAAAAATAATGATAAAAAATTACTTTTTAAATATTTGGAATGATTAAATCGTGCAATTATTTAAAATAAAAGTTACCTTATAGCTAATAAAAGAATTTTTCCCTTTCAACCCCTAAAAATCACCCCTGTATTGGCAAAAATGATAAAAAATTACTTTTTAAAAGCTTGGAACGGTGCAATTATTTAAAATTAAAATGTCATTGTTTTTTTACCATAACTCGGTTAATTTTGAAGTTATAGTATCCTACAAAAAATATTTTAAAGATAATTTCAAGAGCTGTAAGATCGTTTGCATATAAAATCTTTTAAGTCCTTCGTTTTTTAAAGGGAAAGGATCGAAGGGCTCGAGACAGGTCGCTTTTTCACTAAAATGAATGCTCCAAGCGGCGATATCTCCTTTGTATTTTATGCTATAGGAATTAAAAAAGCAAAATATTTGTTGAAAAAGAAAGTTACATTTTTGTTGTCTATCATTTTTTACGTATCTTTCATAGTTTCAGAGTTATTATACAGGGTGTCTCATAATTAGCTGCCAACCCTGAACAGGCCGATTCTATGATCAAAACTAAGTAAAAAAGTTCATATGAACATGGGTCCGGAAATGCTTCCTAAGGGCACAGGGACCCATTGAAGAGGGAGGAATGGAAATCATTTTTTTGCAATATCTCTCAATCGCGTTGTGATAAATGAATGAAATTTGGTATACACAGCTAAATTTTGATGAGCAATTTGATGGACTAATCCATTTATTTCCACAAGGTCCATTGGGGTGGGTACGGGGGGGCCCTTGGTACTTTGCGTGTGTAACTTTTTCATCTTTGACTTTTTAACAAATTGGACAGCAAATTCCGTTTTCCCGAACTGTTTTACGTTAAAAAGGTACTCTTGTTTCAAATCGTTATCTTTAACGGTTTCTGAGAAAATCGCTCTTGAATTAATCCCACTTTGGTCAATTTCATAGTAATTTAAACAAAAAATAATAATAATAATTTTACTTTCCTCTCTTTTCCATTTAAAGGATTAATTTTTATTTAATTTAATTTTTTATTATTATTTTTTTATTAAAATTAGATTAAATTTAAACAAAAAAATTTTTTTTGTTTAAATTACTATGAAATTGACCAAAGTGGGATTAATTCAAGAGCGATTTTCTCAGAAACCGTTAAAGATAACGATTTGAAACAAGAGTACCTTTTTAACGTAAAACAGTTCAGGAAAACGGAATTTGCTGTCCAATTTGTTGAAAAGTCAAAGATGAAAAAGTTACACACGCAAAGTACCAAGGCCCCCCCCGTACCCACCCCAATGGACCTTATGGAAATAAATGGATTAGTCCATCAAATTGCTCATCAAAATTTAGCTGTGTATACCAAATTTCATTCATCTATCACAACGCGATTGAGATATTGCAAAAAAATGATTTCCATTCATCCCTCTTCAATGGGTCCCTGTGCCCTTAGGAAGCATTTCCGGACCCATGTTCATATGAACTTTTTTACTTAGTTTTGATCATAGAATCGGCCTGTTCAGGGTTTTTGAATAATAAAAAATACGTTTTCAACTTTTATCGTACATTATTAAAAAAATACACATTCTAAACCGGTCTAACTTCAGGATCGTATGAAAAACACTAAAACAAAACTAATTGAAAAGGGTCTACGATTAATTTTAATTCTGATGGAAATGGTACAGCGTTTACAGCTCATTTTTCCTTAAAAAATATGAGCAACCCATCTGTTTTCGACGATAACTCCTTCACTGTTGCTCTAATTAACTTTTAATTAACTTTTATAAGTGCTCATTTTGAAGGTCTTTTTGAGTACTACAAAACACTCCTGGAGCGTTATACACGTAAAATTAACCCTTTTTCCGTTATTTGACGTTGAATACATCGATTTGAGTATTCCCCCAAAACAAGTCCCCTTCCACTAACCATATTTCGCTTTGTATAGGACGTACAACACTTTTTAAAAAACGATTTTCTTTGTTTATTTATAAGCTACATTTTTGTTTATTACACTTTTTTTTTAATAAAATGCGTTGTTTTTGAGTTATTTGCGAAAAATACTTTGAAAAAGTTCACTCAAAATTCAAGTTTTCAATCGTGAATAATAAAAGAACTATTGACTTATCGAAAAAATTCTTCGAATATTTTTTGCTCGAAATTTGATTCTCTTTGGATTTCCAGCGTTATTTTAAAAAAAAATTTCCGCCCCCAACAGGGTGGAAGAGTCAATTAGCGCTATGTCACTAATGTTCATTGACCTTGAAAAGCTTCAATTTTAGTAAAAAATTAGGATTTGTGTGTTTGTTTGTAATTACATGTTTTCTAGAATACATGGTGCATCAAAAAGACCAAACGCTCCAGTAATGGATACTAGACTAAACTAAAAATATACTAGAGCCCATGTAGTTATCCATGACTCTAGCACTCGTCGATTCTTCGTCTTAATACATGTAAGTGTTTACGATTCTCACAGAAACGCTTTATACTCACCCAACAAGGTATGCCAGTTGAACACGACGTCCCATCTAATTTTTTTGGCGACTAAATCGTTAAAGAACACCCTCACCACGCTCTGGTTCGCGATCTGATAACCGCCGCTGGAAATTTAAATGTTTTACGGTTTGAGTTCGTGCGCGAATTGTTTTACTTACAAAAGCGTGAGGTCGTTGATGGAATTTAGCCGTCTCAATACCCCTGATGATTTCTCAGTCGTGTAGTCTGTAATTGCGCAGTCGGGCAAGCAAGAGCACTTGGTTCTATCCCACACGTAACCGCCTTGCGCGTCCGTCGTAGAAAAGTTGTGGCTCTGCGTAGAAATCTCGATTGAAGCTGGAATAAATGTCATCATTGTAGCGATGCTCAAATTTTAGCTCCCGATAAGTCTGCGCACTCAATGAAATTTTTCAAAAAAGTGCCGAGAATGACGGGAAGATACCTTCAAGTTAAATTAACGTTTAGGTATTCCTAAAAGTGCTTCATATTAACTTAATATTAATATTGCAGTAAAACATATAAAAATGTCATCAATGGTATAGTCACTATAGTCTTTCCGAAGTCAGTTGAACATGTAAAAAAAACGTCTGTCAATAAAATTTAATGACTTTCATAGGCGTCCCTAAAAAAGTTTTCTGCTAAAGGTAAAAAATTATAATAATTTGTATGTGTAAAAAATTTCTGTTATGTGTTCATTTGGCTTTAATTATTGATGTCCTCAAACAATTTGATTATACAGGGTGATTCAGTCATAATGTCATTAATTTTAAGAGCAGATAGAGAAAAATGGGTATAACGATGGCGTGATTAAAAAAAAAAATGCATATTTAAGCTGAAAAAAAATATTTTCAAATCATTAACCCACTTTTCAGGCTGTTACTGACCGGCTGACGTTCACAATATTGTGCACGGCTACGATGTGAACAAGGTGCCCTAGATGCAACGTTGCCATATTTATATATTTTCCCTCATATACAGACAATAAATAAACGGTTTGCTTACGTCAGCCAATAATAATTTAAAATGCTATAAATTATTTTTTATTTATGCAATCAACATATTAAACTGTTATTGTTGCCCAGCAAGAACCTCGAGGTCTGAGCATGCCTTGCCAAAAATCAGTTTTTATTAGCATCATAATTTTAATATTTTAACAACATTTGCTGTAAGCCCGAAGGGGAAGGTTTTCAAACAATTCTACTAAAAATTAGTAACGCGGCCCATTCAGATGTTCAGGTAGAAAATGCGGCCCAATTAAACGATCGCCATTGACATTGACACCGAATCTCCTCTGAAAGCTATACCACCGACGAGTAGTGTGCGGGTAGTAGTGTGTTTCATCTGACCAAATGTGACTATTATGGCTGCAAAGAAATTAGCTGTTTCACTTTAAATAAGATTTAATATTGAAGTTACAAAACCCCAAAAGTTCAAATAATTTAAATTTCATTTCATAACCATTTCAATTTCGTTACAGAAATAATGTCATAAAAAACCAACACTCACTAGATAAATTATAAAGAGAGGATAAATTGTATGCAGTATTTAAATATTGACTGCAATTAGAAGAGAGACTTGTATATTCCATAAAAAAACAATGGGACGGAGACAAATAAACAACTCGGTACGTCGTGTTTCCGACCTAGGGTAACCTGTGGTTCAGTAACCTTTTAACCCAGTTTTAATTTGCACACGTGCACCATATAGTCCAGGAGCCCGATGTGCAAACAACTTATTCTTAAATATTTGACCTCTTGAATCCAAAGAAACTTGGTCGCAAAGCCTGAAAGTGGTCAGTTTAATTGTTATCAACAAATTAAATGTTTAAATGGCTGTAAAAAGTTTATTTTTATAGCTAGTACAATTTATTCGCTAATAGTTACGTTTTCTCATAACAAATATGTATTTTTTTGAAAATTAAAAAAAATTAACTTTAACCAAAGTTATTGCAAATTTAGTGCAAATTTCTTACATTTTCCGTCTCCGTGCGCACTAATTTTACCATATCTGGTTCTACTGGACGGATTGAGACGCACGACATCTCATTTTAACGCTTGAACTTTATTTTACAAGATAGGTAAGTTCCATTTATTTATTAATTTATTTAATAATTAATGGCATCTTAGAAAGTTGTGAAATTTCAACGAAAATGCCGGTTTTAATTGTTTATAAGGTTTTTTTTATTATTCAACTTCGACGAAAAGCCAAAAAAGTTACCGGATATTGTTCTTTGCATTCTAACAATCAAGCAAGGCATGAAATCATTGTTAGGATGCGAGGAACAATAACCGGTAACTTTTTTGGCTTTTCATCGAAATTGAATAACAAAAAAAGTTTTATAAACCAATAAAGCCAGCATTTTCGTTGAAATTCCACAACTTTCTAAGCTGCCATTAATTTTTAAATAAATAAATTAATAAATGGAACTTACCTATCTTGTAAAATACAGTTTAAGTTTTAAAATGAGATGTGCGTCTCAATCCGTCCAATTGAACCGGAGATATGGTAAAATTGGTGCGCGCAGAGACGGAAATTCTAAGATATTTGCAATAACTTTGGTTAAAGTTAATCTTTTTAATTTTCAGAAAAATATATGTTTGTTATGAGAAAACGTAACTATTAACGGATAAAAAATTGTACTAGCTATAAAAATAAACTTTTTACAGCCATTTAAACATTCAATTTGTTAATAACAATTAAACTGACCACTTTTAGGCTTTGCCACTAAGTTTTTTGGTTTCAGGAAGTCAAAATACTTAGGAATAAGTTATCTCGGCAATTTGTCAACCACCTGTCAACAGCCGAGATTTATTGTCCAGTGGCCCAATGCAGCTGTGTTTGTATTTCGTTTGCCCGCGCTCGCATCTTCAACTGGACATATACCTCCATGTTTAATTCGACCATACTGTATATGGCTATGGCTAAATAAATATGGGAATAAGTTTTTCAAATATTTCAATACCGAGTTGCTGCGTCAGCGACCGAACCTGATACATACTGTCAACCTCTAGGTCCTTCAATTGATATCGGAAAGACTATACCTACAATAGTTTTGAATATAAGATAGACTTACGTCGATACTCTGCCAAACATGATATGTCTTCGAGTGAGCATACCACCTGATTATCCCCTGAAATGCAAAAAAATTGTTTTTATAATTCTTACAATTGTGCAATTGAGTCAGATAATAGATATCATAAATTTTTTTTGTAAATTGGTAGTTCCATGCACACGAAATATTCGGATACCCTGTATAACGCCGTGAATATCGCACTTTTTCAAAATTGTCAGCAAACTATTTCGATGACTGCATAAATTCGTTCGAATTACACGAAAAGGGAGAACAAAGGACGCTGAGAGTATAACCATACATATACTGGGTGAATCTTAAATGAGTATTATGTAGGTATATTTAAAATAGCGGTAAAAAATATTAAGTATATTTCTTAAGAATTGGGTTAGTTTTTACTTGTTAAATTATTTTTTTGAGAACTTAATAGATTTTCTTTGTTACGAACTTAAAATTTGATTTAAGTTTAGTGCATCACTGAATTTTAATTCGCTGTTAATAGGCCAGGAAAATAAGCTGGGATATGACCATTTCGCGACTTTTTGTTTCGGCAAGCTGAATTTATCACTATAGATGCTAAATTTTATGTACAATAACGTATTAGTTTCCACAGTCATACAAATGGGGGGAAGATTGTTTACAGGCTGGTTAATTGTATAATTTTTACTTCAATTCACGTTTTTCGCTTATAACTTTTCTCCGTTCATTTCCACGAGAAAACAGTAAAGTATTTTTGTTTCGTCTTCAAAAGACCTCCAAAACTAGCCCTCGAGCGTTAAAAATTATTAATTAGATCAAAAGTTATAAACAGAAGAAGTTTATTTATGACTTTTCAATTAAACATTTATAAACTGCGTTATTATTACCAGAACGTTTTGGTATCGCATCCTCTAATTCCTTATCACTGTCTAACAACTCACACGAAATCTGGAACCGGTAAGTTGAATAGTTTACAAGTTATGGCCTTATAAACAAATTAACTAATTATTAGTCTGGACGATCTCGAGGATCTTCCACAATCGCTCTAATTTTTTTCATGGTAGATTTCATAATTATACATTGAAATCTATCATTTTTTTTTAAATTTCATTATACAATTAACCACCCTGTAAACAATCTTCCCCCCATTTTTATGACTGTGAAAACTAATATGTTATTGTACATATATCTATAGCGCATCTATAGTGATAAATTCAGCTTGCCGAAAGAAAAAGTCGCATCCAACTATATTTCCTAGCCTATTAAAACAAATAAGTCACAGTATTTAAACTACAACATGAAACTAAAGGAATAAGATCACATTTTTAACAATTTTCTTGACACATGACTTGGTATACAAGCAATTAATTGTTGTGCATGCATTATGCACATGTGTGCATAGATTTAAAAAATATATATCTGCAAATAACGAGCGTTCAAATAGAAACGTGCTCGAAGTTGGCTCTGACACATTGGACGTAGGGAGTAGCTTATAGCGACCAACTTAACCTCATTTCTCAACGAGCTGTGTAGCAGCTGTCAGTTTCAATAACGTTAATGACTATATAACTTTATTTTAAAGAATAATCGTGATAACAATAACAAATAATTAAAGGAGCTGCGGAAAGTGTCCCCCTCCTTGTTATAACAATAAATTAAAGCAGCTGCTGAAAGTGTCCCCCTCCTTGTTCCAAGCACTTTTCACACCTGTTCCTCAAAGAATTAAAGACATTTTCTAAGATGCTCGGGGTATTGTTAATTTCACGAATCTTGTCTATAAGTCGAGCCTGCAGATGGTTTAAATCAGGAATAGGCAGTTCAAAAATAGTGTTTTTAAGGTAAGGCCACAAAAATAAATCACACAGCGTAATATCACATGACCTCGGTGGAAATTCATGTTCAGCATTGAGACTTATTAGTCGATTTTGGAAAACTTCCCTCAACATATTCATCGTCTCGACTGCCGTATGTGCCCTCGCGCCATCTTGTTGAAAGTAAAAGTTTGTAATTTCGTTTTCTTCCAGCTGGTTAACAAAAGGAGCGATAATTTCTTCTGTATACCTTTGCGCAGTAAGAGTACCATTAAAAAAATATGTCCATAAATCCTCCTTCGATTGAGAGCACACCAAACTCCAATTTTTTGAGCGTGTAGAGGGCCCTCGACAAAAAATTATCTGGTTTTTCAGAAGACCACATTCTCATATTCTGTGAGTTTACGTAACCACTTAAATGAAACCAGGCTTCATCAGAAAAAAAGGTGATATGAAGTTCACCGTAGTTATTTAAAAACCATTCACAAAATACAGCCCGTCGCGGAAAATCAACTTCATGAAGTTCTGAATGAAGTTAAACGATAGGAGAACAAACGCAAATCTTTTTTTAACACTGTGTGGCAGGTATCGACTGATACTCCCACCATTTGTGATAAAACACGTACAGAAGTTCTTGGCGCATTTTCCATTATTTGTTGGACATTTTCTTTTAATTCTTCAGTCCGCTTTTTTGCTTCCTTCTTTTCTTGTTACACTGCCCGTTTCACGAAAAACATTAACACAACGCTGAACTGCACTTTGAAAAATTTTGTACTCAACAACGCCGGGAAATTGATTTTGAAATTCTATGAAACATTCCTCAATAGAATACTTCCATATTCCATCAATCTTGCGTCCATTTCTAAAGTAGGACTCTATGATAAACACTTTTTGTTCTTGAGAAAACACCATTTTAACCGCTTTTTAAAACGAAAATATTCAAATTGATAGCGGCGATATAGCGCTTTGACAGATGACGTTTAAGTTCATTTGCTATACGCTACGCCCTACGTCCAAATTTTCAGAACCAACTTGACCACGTTTTTATTTGAACGCTCGTTATATCTAGTTCTGAGCAATTATACAGCAGTTATACAGAAACATGTTTTACGAACAGAACATTACATTTTTAGTACCTACTTTACTTCCTTTTACAAACCTTTCAGGTGTAGATACTTAAAAGGTACGCATCCGCAGTACTTGATGGTCATGTTCATTTTGCACTCCTCCACGCAGTTGTGGTAGTTGTACTCGTAGGTAAGAAGTGCTCTTTCCTCGGGAAAGATACAATGTCGTACGGACGTCGGCAAGTACCTTAAGGATTCTGTCGAGTACGTGAATTGTGGGTCTACTCCGATCAGATTTGTGCTCCTCATGCTGATTAGCACGTTCTGCAAGTAGTCGTTGGGATAGTAATAAGGATTGTCGATGAAAATCTGAAAATATAACACATCGATGTCTGTTTGGTAGCCTCACAAGGCGAACAATATAATAATCAGACCTTTTGATATAATTTCGTTACTAAATATTTTGGTGTTTCCAAAATGTAATGCCAGACAGAAACGGAGAACCAGAGCATGATAATTTTCCTTAACATGAGACTTAGAAACAATTTTACAGGCTGTTTTATATAAGTCCAGCCACTGAAGGCGACAATAAGGTAAAAGCTCTCAATTTTTTCGGATAGCATGGATTTTCCTGAAAATTTGACCCCCCACTTCAAAAGTTATACTGTCTAGATGTGTGCTTTTTCTATTTGGGGGTGAAAACTACCCTTGTACGAACAAAATGCGAAAATTGCAAATTTACGTATTTTAAAGATTCAATTCATGTTCAAATATGTTGGATAAAGTTCCTTTCATGTTTTTTAATATAATTTACGAAATTTAATTACTTTTTAACCCTTAAAAAATCCTTAAAAACCCTTCCATGGCCAAAAAAATAGAAACAAAGTTTTAATAGTATATTCATTTGGTGCATTCACAATGTATTGCATTTCTTTTGTTATTCATTAAAAAGCTTACGACTCATTACAAAGTTGCAACCCTTAAAAACCATCTCTTATAATTAAATAAACAAAAAATATTATTGAAAGCTTGAGATGTTTTAATGGTATGCAATTGTTGAATTATAAACTCTTTATTGGTTTTCAAATGATCTGTGATATAATTCAATTTTTCAGCCATCCAAAAACCCTTATGGAAGACCTACCCCTCATAAAAACCCCACCCCTTATAGATAAATTTCCTAAAAATTATATGTGAGTATGATACAATTATTTTATTTAATTTTATTGAATTTCTTAATATTTTTTTATTAAATTAATATTAAATAAAAATATATATATACATGTGAACTCGTATACGTGTGTGTATGTACATTATTAAAATACTTACTCAAATCAGTTGGCAAGTGCTCCAAAATACACAAAGATTATCCGCTCCGAAAAATGTACCGAAAAAATGCGATTCATTTTTTTACCATAACTTTTATAATTTTAGTTATAAATTTGCTCAAAAAAACAAAAAGTAAATAGTTTAGTAAGAAAAAACCTACAATTTCTTATTCTATCATATTTTTTATAACTGTTAGTTTTTGAAATATTTTGAAAAAAAACGATTTTTTTTTTTAAATTTTATTCAAAAGTAAATGAAATTTTTTTTTAAATTTTGGCTTCTAAAATCGTTCAAATTCCCAGAATCTACTGTTAATACATAAATAAAGTAAATTGCAGAAGGAATACGTTTAATTTTTTTTTCCGTCATTCATTTTAATACCGTTTTATTTTCTCAAAAACCAAGACAATCATTTTATTTTGATTGTAACTTCATTAGTTTTCATGCTAATGACTTCTACCATCACTCAATTTAAAGGTTATTTCAAGAACTTTAATAAGTGATATGCAAGTTTTCCTCGAAAAACCTTTAATTTTTCCACTACAGGACGTTGAACGTTTCGATTAAAGCTATCTTCGAAATTGACTTCAACTTCTGGGAGTCGTACCTCGGGTTCTATACCACCTACAAAAATTAAAAAAGCAATATCTTTGCTATTTAATTACCTTAATTTTTGCTTATGATCATTTTTTGATAAAACTTATTATTTTATTTATTAGTATTTTTTGAGATATTCGTGAAAAATGGCTCCAAAACATGCATTTTTTGGTCTAAAAACGAACATGTTTAGGCGTAAATAATTCAAAAAGTATTGACTGTACAAAAAATTCTTATAGAACATTTTTTGCTTAGAATTCGTCGCTCTATCGAATCGTTTTTAATAAAAAAATTCCCACCCTCTAAGGTAAAAACACACATCGGCACTATATAACATTTATTTCTTGGGCTATTCCCAGCTACAGTTCAAATTTCACCTCAGTCCATTCCATCCGAAAAAATTAGTAGCCAAAATGCTTTAGTGATTGGACTATATGTTTTGTAATGTTCCGTCGAATTATATGCTTCTATAATATGGTCACTTTACATATTCCAATGAAGTAAACAATGCTCAAACGTGAGAAACTACTAACCGAAACAGATCAAACAGCAAAGATAATAAACGTTTCTTATCAGAAAGTATACTATTTTCCAGGTCTAAAAGTTCCTGATAAAAAAGTTATAGTGTTTGGCATTATGTTTCAGAACACCCTGTATAAGTATTTATTTCGATATTCATCTTTTATACTGCCTTCAATAAGATTATAGATTTGTTAAAGCGCATTTTTATAACGTTTTCCACTCACCCTGTAACCAATTGAAGGTATGTGCGTGGCGAAATAATCTTCCGGATCATTATTTACCACTATCTCTAGTCCAGTTTGATATCCGCAAGCTGACACCCTCCTGGGTGCCTTGGGGGCCTTACTTGCAAATATCCTGCGGAAAATATGAGCATATTTAGTCAGCTTGTCGAAATATGAAAATGAAATTATTGATTCCTAAAAAAGAAGTTCATAAATCGTCTACAATAGGGATTGTACGTAAAAACGGGAAAGATTTTTGTACAAAAATCAAAATCATAAATCTAGTTTCAATATTTACCACGATGGATAAGAGCTTACTATTTTTGCTTGTTACTGTTATAATTTTTTACATACACAAAACTTCGTAAGATGGGATTCTGCTTAAATTTAAACTGTGTTTGGTCCGCCATTGATCGTTTGTTTGTGGGTAAATAATGACTGAAAAGTGTAAAGACGTATCGGATTTTGTCTAAAATCCTACAACTTTTTAATAGTACATGTTTTAACTTTTCTAAATGCGCCTCTGTCTTCTTTATGTACCCATCGTAGTAGAACAGAATAGTAACACTGTTGTTTTTAAAAATATTTTCTATTAATCGGATTAATATAAAATAGGTTTATTTACGTATTAGTAACGTACTTAAGAAATCGTGTAAATAATGTAATATTTTTAAAACAATAAAATGTTTTTTAAGGTTCGGCGGTGCTTTCACATTGACATCAAACAAATATGGTGTCTTTAAAATAAAACGTCTCGAAATCATACAAAAGCAATTTGTTTTTAATAAATTATTTTCTATCGTAGTTTCGCGTTCTAACAGTTGATTTAGAAAGCTGACAACGCTGATAAGTGATGATACAATTTACCAAGCTAATTCCCGTTAAAAAAATCGAATTATAGCTCGACTATACATTTGATTAAAAAATTTGTAATTTCAGATTAGTATTCTGAGGGTCAGTTACTATTACCTCTAAAAAACTGACCAGCGCCCCCCCCCCCCCCCCCCGTAAAAATACCCTGTATAGCAAACAGTTTATGCAGCCAACCATACTAACCCCGTGAACGAGTGATTCTTCAGGGCGAAGTAATTAAAAGAACAACAAAATCCTTCCGACGTCCTGATCTGCTCAAAGATGCTCTCGCATCTCCTTTCCTCTCCCTTCCACTGGCAGCGCAGTAGCATTTCCTTGCATGTCGGCGCAAGCACACGTAGCGCCTCGTCGACATCGACGTGGCTGTCTTTTAGCAGCCTGCTGAGAATCGTGTAGTTCTCCGCGGGGATATCGGGATTGTCGTTGTTAATCAGTTGGAAAAGGACGCGGATGTTCCATGCTAGTTCTTCTGGATTTTTGCCGTTTGTAACGCTCCTTGAAATAAGAATTAGAAAGGTATACAGGGATATACCTTTAAGTATTGAAGATAGATGCTGTCTCGTGTTGAAAATTCTAATGATTTAGGACAAAAATAAATATGAATAAATTTGAATACTGAGAAAAACCCCCCAATAAATTATGTTCCTGCAAAAAAGTAATTTACATTAAATATTTGAATATAACCCACAAGTAAAATGAGTTTTCTACACATAGTCCAACTATGTACAACACTTGGAGAAAAAAAAAAATTGGGGGGTTGAAAAGTTATGAAAAATTGTATCATTGGGATTTCTGGCGAAAGTTGACGTCAAACAAAAAAATATCCAATACAAAAGTTGTAAAACATACAAAAATCTACAACTTTGGTAGAAGTCACTTTTTAACATAACCTCAAAATTTCCGAGAAAAATGCGAAAAACCGTTTTTTTCTGATTTTTCGTTTTTTATTTCTCATTTCCGCAAAACTAATTTAATTTTGATGAAATTTGGTGAAAGTATACCTTTCTCTGTCTTAAATAACCTCAAATTTTTTTAGATAAAAAAATCAAGAACTTTTTTTTCAAAGGAAAATTCTACTTTAAAAAATCGTACAGAATTCTGCTAGCAATCATTTTTTTCGTTTTGACATATACTTTTTGGTGAAATAAAAAAATCTGTAATAACAGTTCAAAAACATGCTCAAAAATGCAAAAAAATAAAAAATGACTTGCAACAATGAATTTTTCAGTTATTGTTGATAATTTGAACATTTAAAAACTGATTACACCATTCAATTCTACGGAAAAAAATAAAAAAAAATTCAATGACCCAAAACTTTATTTTTGTACAGTATTGCTATAAACATCTAAGCCGAATAACAAATGCACAAATGATAAATTATCTCTGGATGATTTGAGATTTCAGCAATACAAAGTATTAACTGCAAAGTCTACTGACTTTATCCAATAGATATTTTGAAAGCGTTCAGATAAGTACTCAGGAAAAATTTTAAATTATAGCTAAAACAAGCTAAAAACTTTTTAAGCGATTAAAATAGTAATATCCTCTAATTCAGAATAAAAAAATTACTAGATTTTGTCATAAAAATAGCAGCGACGTATTTAAAAAAATTAACCCGATGATGACCCTCGAAGACGAAACGTCGGATTGCAAAAATGTTGACGTCATTGTATAGAGCGAAAAAAGTGGCATTGTAAATATGTAATTTATTTTAAAATTCCTTTTTCCAATAAAGCCAGAAAAAATTAAACAATTTTGCAAAATTTCGGGCTATTCCGGATATTTCCGGAACTAACCGGAATTTTAAAACTTTCTAAACAGCATATTGTTAGGTATAAAAAAAACACAACTTTTTTTTAATCCGAGCCATATCCCATCCATATATTGGATGGGACAGGCTGTATATCTATGAATTCATCAAAATTAAAAAAAATATCTACAGTAATGGATCCTACGAAAAAAAAAATATTATTTATTTTATTTATTCACTATTCGACTTATGTTTATGGCAACACTGTACAAAACTAGTTTTGGGACAAACAATGAGACAGTTTTTTTTTTGTATTTTTGCCGTACAATTGAATGGTGTAATCAGTTTTTGATTTTTTTAAATTTAAACAAATTATCAACAACTACTGAAAAATTCATTGCTGCAAGTCATTTTTTACTTTTTTACATTTTTTAACCTTTTTTTGAACTGTGATTACAAATTTTTTTATTTCACCAAAAAGTATGTCAAAACGAAAAAAATTATTACCGACAGAACTATGTATGATGATTTTTTAAGTAGAAAAAAAGTGTATCAGGCCGAAAAAGATGAATATCTCAGAAACTCCTTGATTTTTTTATCTAAAAAAATTTGAGGTTATTTAAGACAGAGAAAGGTATACTTTCACCAAGTTTTGTCAAAATTAAATTATATTTGCGGAAATGAGACATGAAAAACGAAAAATCAGAAAAAATTCTGTTTTTCGCATTTTTCTCGGAAATTTTGAGGTTATGTTAAAAAATGACCTCTACAAAAGTTGTAGATTTTTGCATGATTTCCAGCTTTTGTATTGGATACTTTTTTGTCTGACGTCAACTTTCGCCAGATATCCCAATGATACAATTTTTCATAACTTTTCCACCCCCCCCCCAATTCAACCCTCCGTGGCCCCTGCTCACGTATTTTTTTTTTTTTCGTTTATTATAAGCCCCTTTAGCATTTCCACTTATAAAAGTCAACAATTTTCTTTTTTTTTCCCTCTAAATGGGTTATTTTGATCGGTCTAACAAGTATATTTCTAATAAATGATTACATATACAGGGTGAGTCAACGCTGTCGCAAAGTTGATTTATCGCTAGAATATAATTGAGGCAAAATATTTCAAGATAGGTTCGGGTGAGGGAGTAAGAAAAGTACATTTTAAACATAACTTGACTTATACAGGGTGGTTAGTTTTCGGAGAGTTGACCAAAGTTGTATTTTTTTAAATGGAACGCCCTATATTTGAGTGGATATATAATCAACAGAGAGCGGACAATTTGTGACTTTAACCCTGAACATAGATATGTCATTCATAAACCTAGATACATTACCCATGACGCAGTGGCGTGTCGGGTATGCATCGGACATTTACGTGATAATTCACGAAAATTCCACGGTACATACATTTTTAGGCGTTATAAAATATTTAGAAAATCAGAAATTGTATACTACATATTTATTAAATAAAGTTCGGTTAAAAATAGTGTCGTTCTTTTAATTGGAAATTAGGAGTCAATGTAACAAATACCCTCAGGCGACGCACATGATAGAATAGTCCAACTCACGCTCCATTCATAACAGGGCTGCAGTTTGAATTCTGACCAATAGGAATTCGATAAACGCAACCGATGTCGACGGATAGACTAGAGATGGGCGCGAGTGTCATTTCATTTCTTTAGAACTAAATTAACTTAATTATTTTCTCGTTATTTAACCTGTTCACATGATTTATGGATTTTAAATAAAGGGTTAAATCTTCGCGAGGATAATAAGATATATGTATTTGCTATACATAATAATTATATTTTGCATAGTTTATACACAATACATTTTTGAACGCGTACACACCTCTACCAAAATTTGACCTATTCTTCGGGTTAAAGTCACACATTGTCCGCTCTCTAATAACCAAATATGAATAAAACATACAGAACGTTCCAAAAACTTCAAAATGTGAAATTTTCCCTATGTAAAGTGTCTTTAACTTTTGTTTTCGTTGAAAACTGTTGTTCGAAAACTCAAGAAATACTTAAATACGAGGTTTACTAAAAAAAAGAACAGAGAAATTGTAAAAAATAAGAAACTTTTATTTTAAATTTAAAATTTGTAAATTTGTATTGCATATCGATATGAAACATTACCGATTCCATAACATTTCACAAGATAAATTCGTTGACTCAGGGTTAGCATTATTAATAAAAATTATTCGGTGGACAGTTAACAAAAATAAATATGTTGACTTTGACATTGATAAGGAAATATCCGTGGTAGTTATATAGTAAGATAGTTAAAATTTGCGGCGTCTTTTATTTGCAAAATGTGATTATTCCTATTTTTTTTATTAACCCCATTTCTTGAGTTCTCGAACAACTTTGTTAAATACTGTTTGTCAGTGTTTGTAACTAAAATTATGGAAAATTGAAATTTTTTATTACAAAATTACATTTAACTAAAAGTTTAATAACCGTAGCAAAACAGTGTAATTACTACAGCAAGAAATTTTAGTTAGTGTTAATAACCACAGTTAGACGACTTGTTCACTTGCGACTAGCTATTGAAATTTTGGTTTTGGTTGGTACAATAGAATTATTTATCTATAGATTTTTGCGTATCTACAACTTTTCTGCCGAAGCAAAATAAGTTTCACTTTTCACTTATCAATAGTGAATAAAAGAATTAATGATAATGCAACGTAGTTTTGGGTTCAATCTTAATCTAAATTCTGATTCTACGAGTATTCTGATATTAAATTTCATACTCACAAATTTCTGGCCAGCTGAAATGCCTTCTTTCTGGATATTTTATTTAAATTACAAACTGTTACCGCCGGGAAATCATAGTTCCAGATGGGGTTGTGGGTCGAATCCGTCACGGACACAGTGGGGTGTTCTTGGAAGCTGAACCAAGCTATGCAGAGGAGGGTCAAAGCAGAAATCAGGGACGCCAGACATATGACCGCCCAAATGACCCTGAGAAAGTTACGAGTTACGATCAACAGCATTTATTTTTCTAGTGTTACGTTTTTGTTTCTGTCCACATATAATCATATTGACAATATTAAATACACAAATTTTGTAAGAATTGCAATAATACCTTTCCAAAAGGATTCTCTTAGGCAACACGATAAATCTGTATCCGTGCAAAGCGGTATTCAAACAAAACTGCTTGGCTTCCTCTAAAATTAGGTCAGACCAAAACTTCCGGTCTTCTGAGGCATTTTTCGGAACATTTACGTCGGTTGTGATTGTTTTTGATTTCATACTTGAGTGCTAAACTTTGCAATCAACTGTAAACGTTGGTTTCTATGAAAGCAGCATTTAATTTTCATCGGAACGATATATTTTATTCATAATATCCTGTTCTGTGGCACTGAATATTTTATTACGCTTATTTTTAATTAATACATTTGTAGGTTGTGATAGAAATCATTTAGTTCCCGTGAGGGTGACTACATTTCAATGCATGGATAGCATTGTCGTGTTGTACTTACAATCATGAGGTCCTGGGCAAATTTAATTTTTGCCACCGCAGGATTTGAATGTTCTTCTTTTGGTAAGAAAAATTGGCTTTCCGTCAAATTCAAACTTGTCATAGATTTACTAAAATGAAAGCGACCAAAAAGTATGTTTTATGAGATTTCTTTAAAACTGGATTTGATGTAAGAGTTTCACATTTTATTTCTTTTTACAACTTCTTGATGATGATTTAAATGAGGTTAAATGATTTTCATTTTCATTGTCATTTACGTTAAAACGCCAGGTAAGTTTTCTTTGGTTTTATTAAAAAATATATGTACAGCAAATACTATAAAAATACGTATAAAAATATTAAATAATACACACAATTCTGTAGTAATAAATAATATCACATTATTTAATTCTTGTTCCGTTTCCTTCAATGGGATCGCCCCGTTTTTTCTCTGTAACTCTGCAATGAAAAGTGTAAGTACATATTTACATACAAAAGCACAATATATGGTTACCTTTTCCGCTATTTCCGCTAAGTAATCCGCCATCGCTTTACCGCTCTCTTTCACCAACCCGTAAAATATACCATTTGGATTCTGTAAAAGCAAATGAGGATGATCGAACTCCATCGCAGCACCAGAGTCCATCACTAACAGCTTATCTGAGTCCATGACGGTGTGAAGCCTGAAAAAAAATGTAAGTAAAAGAAAGACGTTATTTGGGTTAAAATCTGAGCTATTTGCGGTTCAGGCGTTCCTCAGGGGTCAAATTTTGGACTCCTATTATTCTGGTTATACGTTCTTATGACATTTTTCTTGTTCGCAAATATTGGCCAGTAAATTAATTTTTTAATAATTGGGCAAATAAACTGGGTTTGATTATAATGAAGAAATTATTAATTTTCCTACCTGTGCGCTATTGTTAACACTGTGCACTCAGCGAATTTACTTCTTATGGTAGACTGGATCAAATCGTCAGTTTTAGGATCCACGTTGGCAGTGGCCTCGTCTAGGACGAGGATTTTGTTTTTCCTAATTATGGCTCTTGCTAAACAAACGAGTTGTCTTTGGCCGACGCTGAAATTTGTACCTCCTTCCGACATCTTGCAGTCCAGACCTGATTGATGCTCTGACACAACTCCTGCGAAACAATAGACATGGAAATCAACAAGGTCCCTCATTTTTCCTTTTTTTTTCAACTCACCCTTTAGTTCTACGTCCTCCAAGGCGTTCCACAGCTCCATGTCCTGGTATTCGTTGAACGGGTCCAAATTAGATCGAAGGGTACCAGAGAATAGCACAGGTTCCTGAGGTATGATAGAGAGCTTGGATCTCATGGTCTTCAGAGGTATATCGCTCGTGCTGATACCATCTATCAAAATCTTCCCGTCTATGTCAGCGAGGCGGAAGAGGGCCGCGATCAGAGAGGATTTTCCTGCTCCCGTCCTACCAACTATACCAATTTTTTCCTTTGGTTTGATCTTGAAGGTGAGGTTGTTCAACACGTAGGGCTCGTTAGTGGCGTATCTTAGATAGAGGGACTGGAACTCTATCATGCCGTTCTCAGGCCATGTCCTGGGAGGTTCCTTCTTCTCTTCCTCGGACTCCTGTTTGATCTCCGTGTACTCCACTACTCTCTCCACCGAAGTCATGGTGTTCTCCAGCTCGCTCCACTGCCTCATACCCCACTGGAACATGCCGGTAAGGCTCATAGCTTGCGTTATTGCCAAACCGACATTGCCCCCATATCTTTCTGCAATTATTACCACATTAGAGTTAGTACAACAAAGAAGCCGAGATGTCGGGCTAAGCAAAGGGTTCAGGTCTCTTTAGTCTAGCAATGAATGCTGGTCTTTCAGGACGAGGTGATGGCCTTTGAAGCGGAATTAATGAGGAGAAATGCCAGTGTTAAACTATATGGATAGTTTCAGAAGGTCATGAGAAGTATTGGGGTAACAAAAGGCTAATGAGTTATTCAGATGGAGCTCATATAGGGGCCTTGGGCCTTCCTGTGTGTTATCTTGAATGAAATTAGATGTATAATTTTTAAGATCAAGACCACGATGTTCTTTTTCCGTTCTCTTACCGTTTTCCATAAAGAAGAAACTCAACGTGACCAGGGCAATATAGAATACGCAGAAGATGTCAAGCCAAAATCCGAAGGTCATGTTGCAACCCATGAACATGTAGAATGCGGCGCTGTGAAGGTCCTGGTGTTTGTCGAACTCTTTCCTTAGAATTTCCTGCGCACCGAAGGCTCTTATGGTCGTTAGGCCTTGCAAGGACGCATTGATGTGCGAGAACACCGGGCTTCTGGCTGAAATTGTTATATTTTTAAATGAACTAGATTCAGACAGAGATAGGGACTTACTTGTGGCTTCCATACGTTTGATGTTTCTACTTGAGGCCAAGTAGACGATTCTGTAGAGATAAAACAGTATTATCATTATCGACGTGGGGATGAGGATCCACGTTTTAACTGTGGCTATTACCAGATTAACTGCGAACACATTTAGAGCTATCTGAAAAAATAAAATTAACGTCTTCGTCTTAATCTATAATTGCTGTCGTACTTGTATGCTGTCCATCAAGACATGAGGAAGAGTTTCGTCGATAGAGCCCATATCCTTGGAGAATCTATTGAGTACCCTCCCTGATGAGTTGGTATTGAAGAATTGCATCGTGGCGCTGCAGATTTTCGCAAACATGTTGTTGTGGAGTTTGGTCGACGCCAACATGCACATTCTATAGAAAGATATGGATCTGGCGACGGTGAGGACTATGACGCAGGAGATGATACCCGTGTAGACATATACGCAGTGGTTGACGGTGAAGAATGTGTCTATGCTGCTCTTCTGTGCATCGTCTATCCCGCTGAGGATGTATTGTCCGTCCAGCAATCCATGATTGTAATACGACTTGTAGAAGGTTTTGTTCATGTCGTTGTTGTCTTCGGCTCGTCTTTGCTCAAGGTTTACCCTAAGATGAAGTTAATGAAACAGCTGTACTTTAATTTAATAAACAATCTTACCAAAATTTGATGAAGTAATCAGCTCCACTGGACACGAGTTGTGTCAAGATAAACAGAATGAACACGAAGAAGGAACAACACCAACCTCCACCTGCTATTAGATACCTTTTATACACTTTGGAGGAGATCTTTCCGGTGTTTCTGTATTCTTTTATTTCCGAGGGTTCATCAGATACTTCTTGCAGTTGCTTTATCTTTATCCGATCCCTTTTTATGGCGTCACACTCTTCTTCTTCTATCTGGTGTTTGAACAGCTTGGCGAAATCTTTCCCTGAGCTTTGGATTTCCTCGTAGGTGCCCGTCGTTGTTATACAGCCGTTTTCAATCAGGTAGATCTTACTCACCGATTTTAAGAACTGCAATTGGTGTGTTACTAGTATCGTGCACTTATTTTTTAGGTAACCTGAGATGCACTCTTCGAAGAGCTGTTTCGCTACTTGAGTGTCTACTGCAGATAATGGATCGTCCAGGATGTAGATATCGGCATCCTTGTACACAGCTCTGGCTAAGTTTATCCTAGCTTTCTGACCCCCACTCAAGCTGACGCCTCTGTCTCCAACCATACTTCTGTCTCCATAAGGAAGGAGGTTCAAATCTCGCTCTAAGGCACACGCTTGTAGTACCCTTTCGTATTTCTTGCTGTTCCACTTTTCTCCGAAGAGAATATTTTGCTTAATGGTACCGGCGAAAAGCCACGGTTCTTGCGAAGCATAAGAAATTCTACCCACTACGTCTTTTGTGCCTTTGGACACGGGGAGTTCCTTCATGATAGCGTGGAGCAGGGAAGTCTTGCCAGAACCTACGGGTCCTACGACGGCGACCAACTGCTTGGGCCCCACGTTGAAGTTGATGTTGCACAACGTGTCGTCGTGCAGGCTGCCCACCCACCTTGCGGATACGTCTTGAAGATACACTCCTACCGATTTTTTGCTGAAGCTGTGCAGTAAAGGTGTCGACGCTGGTATCTTCTTCGGATCGTGCGACATCTTTAGAGCGTCTGGATGGACTTCGTCGAATAAAAGGAAAGTTTCAATTCTTTTGACGGAAACTAGGGATTCTGCTAGAATCGTGATGCCTTGAGGAAAGTCTGTGATCATCACGGACTTGAGAATGTTGTAGAACGAGGACACTACGTAGACGAATTCTGCGTTTGGTTTGTGACCGGTAAATGCGTACGTGAGGATGCACAAAAAGACCGAGGTTCTCGTGATGAATTTGTTGAAGGAAATGTGCAGGGCCCTTATGTAAGTGGTAGCTCGGATCTGTTTGATTTCCAATCTGGAAAAAGCGTTAAGTAAACAATAAAAAATATAGACAGGTCAATCTTATCCTATCATTTCTTAACATTTCATAATTGTATGGATTTATGGATAGAGCATTATAGGCTATTAATTATGTCTCAATCGTTCAAAGGGTCATTTTAGATAAAAAAAATCGCGAAAATACAACCCTTATGGTTTTTTGAGAATATCTCGAAAACGAAGCAAAATTTGAGGGTATTGCATAGGAAAAATTTTGTAGATAAAGAGATTTTCTATCGAAATACTTTAAAAATTTATTTACTGCAAAATATATTAAAAACAATTTAATAAAAAAATGCAAAAAATTAGATTTTTTGTTTTTTTACTTTTATGCAAATAACTTTTTTCTGAGCAGAGATAGGTATAGGCATTACTTCATAGAAAAAAAAGTATATACAATTTCCTACAAAATGATGGGTTATAAAAAGTTTTTCCGATGAAACTAGACTGCGTTTTTCGGTTTTTACTGAATTTATAACAATATTGATTTAATACTTTATTTTGAATATGTAATAATTGATTTTTAATCAATAAAAACATGTTAAATTAATTTATCAATAATAAATAAATGTTATTCGAACGTGTATAGTTTTTATTTTCTTTAACAAATTAACAAATATTAACTTATAAAAATTTCTATTTGTTCAACGTTCAACTAAAATATACGTATTGTCAATTGTGACAATGCTCAACAAACAGAGGTATCAGAAAACGATGTTCTTCAAGAATTCGATGAACAAATTGATATGCGGTCTGATAATATTATTAAAGAAATAATTAAAATTATAAAATCTAAAAAATTTAGTTTTAGTTTAATAAAATGTTTTTTACATAAACTAATTTTGTTATTTAAAATCTTTGCATTAAATATTTTTTATATTCACAAAAAGCAATTTTTAAGAAAAAGTAATTAATTTGTTTAATATATAGGCTGGCCCAAAAAAAAAACGATAATTTTTTTTTTCGTGTCTCCTGTGAAAATATGTTAGTTTATCATGTTTTAAGAGCTTTCTCAAAAAAAGCAGTTAAAAAAATTTTTTTAGATGCCGCTCAAGATTTTTAAAAGTCCAAAATCGTCAAAAATTGAATTATTTAAAAAAAATCTCGTTATTTTATCATTTTCTAAGTTGAAAAAATCTCGATTCTGAAAATTTCAAATCGATATTTTAATTTCTAAAGATCACTGATAATTATTTTAATTTTCAAAGTAGTGTACCTACCTATGTTTTCGAGCGACCTCTAAAAATAAATATCAACGAACTAACAATTTTTTTTATTAAATTTGATGAACAAAAGAATAGAAATAAATCACGAGACACAAATTTAAAAAATTAAAAAATTATATATATAATATTTGATGAATATGAATGAATATTTGAACAGTGCGGTAGTAAATTTTTAAGTGTCGTGATTTATGTATTTCTATTCTTTTGTTCATCAAATTCAATAAAAAAAATTATTAGTTCGTTGATATTTATTTTTAGAGGTCACTGGAAAACATTTTGGGTACCCTACTTTTAAAGTTAAAATGAGTGACCTTTAGCAATTAAAATATCTATTTAAAATTTTCAGAATTTGTTTCAATCTAGAAAATGATAAAATAACGAGAAAAAATTTTTTTTAAAAAATCAATATTTGGCGATTTTGGAAATCTAAAAATCTTGAGCGACCTCTAAAAAAATTTTTTTTTAGCTGATTTTTTGAGGGGGTTCTTAAAACATGATAAACTAACATATTTTCACAAGGGAATATAGAGAAGATATTTTCAGTAAAAACCGAAAAGAACGACCATGACTGTCTATTTTCATCGAAAAAACTTTTATAACCCATCATTTTGTAGGAAATTTTATATACTTTTTTTTCTATGAAGCAATGCATATACCTACCTGTCAAGAAAAAAGTGATTTGCATAAAAGTAAAAAATACAAAAAATTAAATTTTTTACATTTTTTTGATAAATTGTTTTTTATACTTTGCAATAAATACATTTTTTAAATTTTTTAAATAAGCTATTTCGATAGAAAATCTCTATTATCTACATTATCTACAATTATCTACAAAATTTTTCCTATGCAATACCCTCAAATTTTGCTTCGTTTTCGAGATATACTCAAAGAACCGTAAGGATTGCATTTTCACCCCTATCTCCAATTTCCACCCTCTAATTCACTCCGCGGTTTTTTCATTCTAAATAACCATTTCAACGATTCATGCAATAAAAACCCATCAACGTTGTAGTTCCATACCATATGACATAATCAATACCCTAATTAAGAATGATTGACATAAAGATGATATTTTTAATCTAAATATGGAAATGCCTTGTTTTCCTTTATACGCACTCATTTGTGTGTAGATATAATCTAAATATTCAGCAACGCAGACATTTGCATAACAAATGTAACATCTTCAAGAGACTTACTTTCTAATTTGTTCCACCAGTGTGGAAAACGCCTTCTCCCACGTATACATCTTTATTACTTGGATGCCGGATATAATCTCGCTCATTATCCTCACCCTCTCGTCTGTCTTCACAGCGGTTCGTAAGCGGAAAATGGACGTCAGCTTGCCCATCAGCACTAAAAAAAAATTAATTAATATCGGTTTTCGTATTAAAATACTTTCACTATTCCCATTTTCCAAACAAAAATAATTTATTAAACAAATACTGGCTAGTAAAATTTTTTAATATAGAATATATCAAGAGGTACTAGGTGACTCTGAACTGATGGTTGGTCGTCATTGCCAGAAAACGATTAGAGCAAACTGGAAACTGCAATCATTTTTGTACGTTAATTCATCTGAAGCCTCTATATATTTATCCTATTTCTTACATTGAAGAGGAATGAAGATCACCAACAGGCAGAATCCGGCGAGACCAGCAGCTCCCACGACCCCGTAGAGCAAGTACATGATGAGAACCGTCTCGATTGGAGCCGCCCAAAGATAATGGAAGTACCTGAAGCAGTTATCGAACCTATTGACGTCGTTGGACAGCAGATTGATCATCTGACCGATGGTGGTCTTCACCAGAGCCGTCTTGCTGAGCTTCAAGGTCTTCCTGTAGATCAGGGAACAGCAGGCAACCCGTATCTTCATCCCCAGGTGTTGCAAGGACAAGTTGTACGCGTGGTAGGTGACCACGTAGAGAAGGGAAGTGATGACTATCAAGCTGGCGTAGATGTAGGCCTCTTCGATGGTGACGTCGGTTTGGTTGGGCGAGTAGTAGTTCATCAGTTTTCCTAGTAGTAAAGGCTGGGATAATCTAGAAAAAATTAATGATAGAACGCTGTTTAAGAACTGTTGGCAGACCTTTGCGGTAGGTTAACAAATTAAGTTTGTACTACGGTATTTGAGAAAATAAACGTGCCCCAATCGATATCCTGTAAAAACGACTTTGTTTCCATTAAAACACATTCTGTACGTAGAAACAAAGGTAACTAGACTTAATTTTGACTTACTGTAAGATGAATTCGAGAAAGAATAAGACAAACATGTGCCCTATGATGTCTTTGCGAAACATGGTCCATAGGGCTCTCCAAAGGGCAGGTTCGGCATTGTTTATTTTTTCCAGCTTCCATATCTCCTCCAGCTTGTCTCCTAATCTGTGGGATTCGTGAGCTTTCAGCGGCTTGTATAGGTCATCTTCATCTAGTTCTTTCTTCCATCCTTTGTAAAATATCGGCAAACCCCAACTAAAAATGGAAAATGTGCAATAAATAGCTTGATAACTAAACCTTCAAGTCTTATCTAAATACATAGAAGTAATGTGTTATCAGTAAACTTTGTTGTGTGCGAAATTGTTACCATTTAAAAATGAAAATGTTAGGGAAATACAGTGTGACTTAATATTCCGTGTACAGGGAGCCATCACAGGATAAAATAAACAGATTTAACTAAACTTACCTCCATCTTAAGCCTCCTAACCCCTAGAAAGCATCAAAATGGATAAAAAAGTTGTTAAGACCTTGTAAGATGAAATTTGGTACACTAATATTTCTATGTAGATGCCACTTTATGACAAAGTAATTGGATTAACTTTGTCACTTTTTATTTACGAAAAATACCTTGAACTAATCTACTCATAATTTTGTCTGGAGTCATGTTATAGCTTTTAGTTTTGTCTTAATGATTAAAGGTTTGTAACAAATTTTTTTCTCTCGAAAAATTTTTGTATTTGCAATAGTTTTGGGTTAATTAAATTTTTTTATTAGATCGTTACTTGTAATGGACTGTTCCTTCATAAGAACTGTTCAATATGACCATTGTTTTCAGTAATACTTAATATTCCCACAGTTAGTTGTCTCTCACTATCAATATTCAGAGTTCAATATCTGTTTTAAGCCTCTCCCCCCAAAAAAGTCATAGGGATTTAAGTCAGGCGAACCTGGTGGCCAGTGAATTAGACCATCATATCCCCTGCCTATCCATCTGCTTGGGTATTGGTCGAGACGGTTTGGTAATCTAATAGAACCAAGCTAAAAATGTCTTTCCATAATGACATGGGGATTTTCATAGAATATTTCAAGGGTGGGTGTACTTTTAACAGTTCTATTAATCCAATTGCTTCGTTTACTATTTCATAAATCATTGTATCAAAATAAAAAAAGAAACTTTTAACTTTCTAATTCATATATAACTATGAGACTATTTTGTAATTATTAGTATTATACCTGTATTTTGTGATAGTGAATTACAAAACATGTGCATATATGGTGGTTTTACTTTATGAATTCGTTACGTGATACTACTGGATGATATTTCAATTTTATTTTTTAACAACTTTAAAAACTGTAATCGATTGCACATGCCTATGAAGTAGTCCTTTTTATGAGTTGAAAATTATTAGTTGTTTATAGTTTCCTCGAAAATATCTATTACTTATTACGTTAATATAAAAAGAAATGCAACTTAATTAAAAACAAACGATGGTATTTAATATGTAATAATACGAAAAATGCCAATAAATGTAGAAAACATAAGTAACAGTTTACTGAATATTGTAGACTTCATATTAGAAGATGTACCATGTCAGGGGGTTAGTATTTATAAAATCAGAAGCACTCCAAGAGATATCGTTACATATTTGATATTACCACATGCGAAAGACTGTAACAGACATTTTTCTTACATGATTTTGGCTAATTCTGGGGTAGTCATTATCTTTATCAAAAGATATGGGGGTTGGAAGTTGACTTCCGTGTCATAAACGTACACTGTAAGCTCTATTGGGAATAAAATTCAAGTGAAAATAGGCTATCCTCGAAAATGGATGTTTCTGATTCAGATACTTCGTCAACATTGATAATAACACAGCCCGACAAGATTTAAACAACACGAATATACTTTTCCAAACGAACTCATAAACCCTAAGTCCAAAAACCTAAGCCTAAAGTATAAATCCAAGTGCTTTTTAAAGATTAAGTATAGTAATTATCGCGATTTTGGCATTTTTAAGGTTAGGATATCTCGACAACCAGAGAGAACTGAGAAATTTGGACAACGGATTCGAATTCAAAGCACCAAAATCCTTCGGAAAAGTAAATTTTGGTTTCTGGGTTAGAGGGTCGTGATCCGATCGGCCAAATTTTATCGGTCTGTGTAATCTATGGAAAAATAATTCTTGCACCATATTTGGAGCTTCTGAACAAGATACGGTTTTAAGATATTCCACTGCAACATTGGAAAATTCAATTTGCAATTTCGTTTGATTAATTGAAGTATATAAAAATAAAAAATAAGTCATCATATTTATTGAACCAATTAATCCAGATAAATTAACAACTAATTACTGCAAAAGACTTTGTGTCTCTGACACGTGGGAAATAGGGAAAGTTTAAATTTAATTAAAATATTTTATGATAGTTTTTGAAAAAAGCATTTTTTCATTCCAAACTGCATTTTCTAAATGCAATTCATTCAATTTTTCATCTATCTTCATTTTCAGTTCATGTGGTCACATACATTTACATGATTTTATACTATTTGTACCACTGCGCAATATAAACAAACCTTCAGGTGGTTCATTTCTGGTCCAAACTCCAGAAAGAGTTACAAAGTTTTGAAAATACGTAAAAAACAATCGCAAAATAGCCCCGGTTACAAACAAATGTGAAACACATTCTAAATTTTTCATGAAAAAGACTCACCAGAAAAATAAGTTGGACAGGAAGTTCGACCTCAGCTGCGGATGCAGGTTTTTGTTCTTAAACTCATCAGTGCTGCTATCATCCATTATATGACGGCGTGGCTGGTTGGTCCAGTCCTTCTGTCGACTCTGGAGCAAGAAAAACAAAGTATTGCCGCACGCCCAAGGCTCGACATTCGACAAACTATCAAAATGATAAATTAATAATGCGTGTAATAAAAACTGACATCCTAATTAGGCCAACATATAAACGCAACAGATAGAAAGTGGTGCTGGTGAACAGTGTGGCTAAAAGGTAGCGTAACGCACCGCAAAATCGCCCGTTAGACATACCTATTTGTCGAAATCAGATTTGTAATCCGTTGGAAATTTATTTAGAAGCGTGAAAAATGTCGTGCCGAAATTGGTAGTCTGTTATATTTCTGTCATGAGGTGTGTTAAAAGCAGCTGCAACTGCAAATAATCAAAAAGGAATTTTGGGGTTGTTGCATATGATAATGTTGTGCAAAGATTAGTAGAGCATACTCGTGTATTAGCAAAGACGGATCCTGGTGGCAGAAAAAGAGTAAAAAACGCCCTCTTTGAATTGCATAACGCAACTTAAATCTGTCTTAGGTGCAAATATAATAAAACTAGTGGATATAAGTTGCTGACTTTGATATAAGACGAACAAGTTACGTCAAGACAAAATTTCAAAGAAAGATTTAAAATCATATTGGGTGTTTTATCTAGCGACACTCTGACATTTCCCGGTCCGTTCAGATTACTCAGCTTTTGCGCATTGCGAATAATTTAACGGGAAAGAGATTCAGAGGGTAGTATAACTTTTATGGGGCGAGGTCTGTCAGCATTAACTATTTTTCCCAGTCTCATATGTTGTGGTAATGTTTCCAGTTGTGTATCTGGCAAAATGTGCAACAAGATGTTTGAAACATATCAGTAGTGGTATTTTCAACTTTTACAAAAATTTTCTTGGATGGTATCGATTTGAATAAAAAAAATATTTATCATTTAAGACAACAGTGAAAATTAATTGCAGAAAGCTAAAACCACAATTTTTCCAGTACACTCAATCCTCTATCATTAATACAGCTTCAATAACAGCATAAATAAGTTGTACATTCAATATTAAATAGCTACCATCAAATTACGATATAAAACAAATAGTTTTTAAATTAGGTTAAGTAAATTAACTGATTTTTTAAGTATTCTTACTGACGTACTGACGTAGGTAAATATTTTTTTAAACGTAGCGTAGATAAAAACTTCCTATTTCTGATTAAAATCAAACAATGTTCTTCGATACCAGAAATCTAGACATGCAAAATATAACTAACACCACAGAAAAAGATCCCTAACTGTTGATATTGTGGGAAACAAATAGAAACTAAAATTGATAAATCTAAATATAATTAATATAAAAACGCGTACCTCATAATATTAAATTATTAAACGATGGAATAATACAGTGAAATACCTTGTATTCTTGCTGTACTACGATCACCATTGACAAATACTAATCAGGCAAAAAATAGCTACTATTCACTTTTATCCAATTTTCGCTTAAAAAACTATCAACATATCGCATCAAGGTAATTATAAATGAAAACTATTTACTGCTAGTTTAGTTATCTATATACATTTATTAAGCTACGATGGAAAATGTATTTTCCTATTTTTAAGACACGATGTGTACTTAAATACAAACTTATGAAATACTTTTTTATCGAAATAGTATAGAAAAATGAGGTAATACAATATTTGAACCTAATACATCATAATTACGATAATAATTATTAAAAAACTGCTATTTTAAGTTATTTATGTGGCAACAGACGTATTTGGTATTAAACTCAGTATCTTTGGTAATTTTATCAAGTAGTCATAAATTAGTCGTAAAAATTAAAGTTGGTATATAAAAAAATCCCAAATTTTTGGGAAGAGCTGTAACTTCGGAAGAAATGGTCGTAAATAGAATAGAAAAAAATGAAATGGAAGCTTCAAGCTTTTGGTTTTTGAGTAATCATAAGAAAACTAACGAAAAATTTTTTTCTGAAGATTTTGCATGTCTATGGACCTCAATATTTTTTTTGGTAATTCCATCGTAATACTCTTTTAGATAATTTAATTCCCTTCAATTTGAGCGATTCTGGAGCCCTCCTTTACGATGGTTTGTCGCTTATCGTGGATCAAAGCAAAAAAGTCATTTTTCACTTTGGCAATCAGTTATTCGGGAAATAATGATCGCACAGAAAATCCAAGTAGGGTTTTAAAAGCTCCAAAGTATTCTTTACCAGTCGTAACTATTGGTTTTTAATAAAAAAAAAATTCAAAGTGAAAATGTTGATTGGAAAAAAGGTAAAAATTGCATAATTGGGGATATTTGAATAACTTGTCATACCTTTGCAAATAATGGATAAACTTTTTCATTCAAAAACGTTAATTACTGTAAATAAAATTAAAAAAATTTGTGAATTTTTAATATTCCTTGATTTTCTTGATTAGTTGAGTATAGTATAAATAAATAAAAATTTTAATATGTATACCTGTGTCTGTTCCACACAAGTCAAGAGCAAATTCCTTGTAATTTTCAATGTTTCAATCAGAGAGAGACAGAGAGACATTGAAATACCTCCACAAGCAGTAATATTTCCATGGTTGAGATAATTAAGAACTATTTTTCTTATTTTCTGCTGCGACTTTATAGTTAAATCAATATGTATCAAACTTAGTAAATTACTGAACAGTCACGCCAACTTTAATCGAAATTCTACAACGCCACTTTCTTCTATTCCCATTTACACAACATAAATGTTTGTTAAAATTGTAAGAGATATTTCCCAGACACAATAAAACTATGCATAACCCTGAAATTATTCGATCTAAATACTTTTCTGCTTCATAAAGGATTTTTTGTGGGACTACTTTCGTGTGAACATTTACTGACGTACTCGAAGCACAATTTTCATTGTGAAATTAAAAAAATGCACTATATATACACAATTAATTTCTTTTCCCGTTCCACATAACTGCTGCTAGCATTGATCCCGGCATATCATTAGACAAAAAAGAGATGTAACAGTAAAAGTTGTGGAAGGCAGAAAAGATTAAATTACCAGCACATGTAAATAGCCATCAGGGACTATTGAAGGAAATGAATAGACAATAGCATCAGTTGAATTACGGAAATGCGTAAGTTTTCTTAAAAAAATGTGTTATGAATGGCAAAAGTTGTGAAATAGTGTACTAATTAGTAGCCCAAGGATGCCAGACATTGATATTTAATTTATAAAAGAGTCCCGATAACTTTGGAAGATAAGAAATATTTTTAAGAAATTGAGAAGGGAAAAGGATATATTTGACAAGTTTTAAAAACGAAATACAAGACTTGGTGCAATGATGGGATAAGTAACAATATGCAATTCCCAGGAGAAGCAAAAAACTGTTTTTATGTACCCTTTGGCTAAATAAGTATAACATATTCGTCTGAATATGAATTCGTTTACATATTTTTTTTTTTATTTTTAAATTTCTATCAGGTGGAAAAAGTGGATAAGTAACATTCAAAACGCTTTCCCATATACAAAATTATTTGGTACTTTACTTATTACTTACAAAAATAAGTGCATATAGTAATATTTAATTCAAAGCCAACAAAAAAAAAGTGCAAAAAACCAACACATATGTGATGCAAGAACTTGATATATGCTTGTCTCAAAGTTCAATTGTTTTATTGTTCCGTAGTTTGAAATTAAAAAAAGCGAAGGTTTCAAAGAATTGGAAATGCAAGAGGAAGTTTAAAAAATAAAACAAACAGAAAATAGTAAAAAAATCAGACAAATATAGATGAGTAAATATTGTAGTACTATATTTAGTTTGGAAAAAATATGCACGAAAATATAAATTACAGACAGAAATGAAAATAAAGTATCTGTCGCACGCTAATTGCAAATTCAGTCTTTTTATAAAATGCTTAGGCGTTTTATAAATAACTGGGCAAATTTTAGGCGTTTTATAAAAACGTCGGATAGCAATAAGTCTTATAGTAAACGCATCTTAATTTTCATTGTCTTTAGAATATGACTGACTTTCTCCAGTCGTTTTGTAAACGACTAAATATCAACAAGTAGGCATTTCATGAAATATCAATTTATATTATTGTTGGTTCGTACAATATTGCGTAGAAGTAAAAAGTATTTTTTAATTCTATATAATATGGCATGAAAAATTAATTGTTAATTCTTACATTTGATTTTTTTAACAATAAGGGTATTAAGTTTTAAGTTTAAAATATGTATTATGTTACTTATTCGAACAAGATCCGTTCTGGGTCTTTTAACATCTTGAAACCCAAGTTTTTGAAGTGAAAGTAGCAAAAAAATACTGCTAATTTAGCGTTTGTTTTCGTAACGTCATACCACGGTACAAACTCATAACTTGTAGTGGGAAACTAACCTAGAAATTAGAAAATTCTACGCCTGCCTTATAATTTGTCGAACTCGAGAGCAGTCTCATTACTATAATGAGTATGTTCAGTTTATTCTAGGCGCAATGTAAAAATAATTTCGTTCATTTTACTTATTTAGCGTTTTGTAAAACGCCTAAAATATTCAGTAGATTTATAAAAAAATGTATATAATATATACACATCATTTCACAATTTGCTCTGTCATTCATAAAACGCCTAGGCATTTTATAAAAAGACTGAATTTCCAATTAGCCTGCGACATATACAGGGTGTCCCAGAATAACATGTACAACGGAAGATCACAGATTCGTGGACTCAAATTAGATTTAGGTTAATTCACCTATATCCGAAATCGCTTCGTTTGGCCGCTAGATAGTCTCAAAGTCCGTCAAATTAGTTTAAAAAAACACTCTGTATAACACCAAAATGTGTAGATTAAAAGTCCCCACCGCCAAACGAACCGATTTCGAATATAGGCGAATTAGGCTAAACCTGACTACTTTGAATTCACGAATCTGTGTGTGTATACACGTGATTCTGGGACACCCTGTATAAACATCGAAATTGTGACGAAATCCAAATAAAAAAAGTCCAAAGCCACAATCACACATACCACCAT